CTTACTTTTCAACCCCTTATTATCTGATCAGCTCTTTTCAACTAAGTCTAAGATTAAAGTCTTGCTAATCTTCCAAAAGTCATGCTGTTAACCCCTCATGTTATTTGTCTGGTTATCTAAACTTAAACTGCACTTTAGGGAATGACCAAAGCCAGTTTTAATGCTTAGATTTTCATGAGCACTTTAGGATAGCTTTCATGATCATTAATGCACAGCTTGTATAAGCCAAGCACATCATTGAAGCCTCCAAAGGTGCTTATAGGCATATTTGGTATAGCACTTCCAACATTCATGCTAAAGTGACCCCCCTTCCAACTAGTAATGCTACAAAAATTAACAAATCACCCAGCTGTAAAAGATATATGCAACAAACCTACCTGAAATCAGTTCTTATAACTACACTAAACCCCAATCACTGGACAATTCATAAATTTTACAATACCTCAATATTATTGATAAGATATTTAGAAAATTTATTAGATATATATAAGATCTATCTTATCAAACTCAAACCCTTCAAATAACAAACCCTCATATATCAACTTGGTGACAGTCAGTTTTAAATACCTCTCTATATTGGTCAACTATCCCTGTAGATTACCCTGTCTTACCTGGTTATTAAAACTTTTATAACCCTTGCATTGGTCTATAAAATATTGTCTTCCACTTCACTATATTATATATACAAATCACATATTTCATTTTATTATGGCCACTGTTACAAAATTTCAAGTCATGGTCAAGATCTAATGCACCATTTTCCTGATTACGCTAAGAAAAATGGTCATTTTAAGTTCTAATGGTATTGGAAAGCAACTGAGAAAACAAGGTCAAATCCGAATGCATCTCCACTTTATTCCTTGCAGAAGATGATTTTATAGCCCGTATATATATATGCAAAGGACATCCTCTGATTTGACATCCAAATATTATTTCAAGACGTTTAAGTCAAAAAGTTTAACATTCATTAGATCATTATAACAAAATATCACATGTAGGTTAAAGACAAGGTCAAATCTAAACTTTCATCAGAATAATTGTTTTAGGTGGGGTTTTTTTCAATAGAAAGCAAATTTTTGAACTGAAAGAGTTCAATGGTTTCCTTTTTCTTTATTATAGCAAAAGATAACAAAACATACACTTTCATTTTGGTGGCATGTCAATGACAGTATCACTAAATGAAGTCTGTAGGTGAAGGAGGTGAGGGCAGATAGGGATTAACAGTACAGACCATGAATCATGTATTTTTTATGTACTAAGTACCCAACAGACACTCTGCCTAAGTCTGCAATATCAGTCCACTGGAAGCAGACACAAACTTGTCACCACCAATCTACTCCACCCTGATACAAATTGAATCATACTAATATTACTGAAGTTAATCGTGTTTATTAGAATCTAATGATTGAATATTCTTTCACTAGACCACACAGGTGTTTCTACAAGAACTGTAATTAGGAAAATAAAATAAAAAATACTTGAATGACTATATAATGTGGGTTAGCCATTGATTTTTCTCTAGAATCTTACTTGACTAACAGTTTTGTTTATTAAACTTAATATATTCACACAGCTTGACTTAGATTTGAAAGGAAATTTAAATTTCTGAGATTTTTAAGAATGTTAGTTTCGTATGATCGTAGTTGATGATTCAGTCTGACTTGTTTTGGACAAATTAAGCATATGGTAATTACATTCTCCTCCCAGGCTATTTCTTACAAATTAAATTCCTTTAGGTGAATGTTCTTTAAAAAGCAATAAAAGTGCAACTGGGTGGTAATTCTTAGGGGTAATTCTTGGGGGTAATTCTTAGGGGTAATTCTTGGGGTAATTATTTGAAGTGTTGTAAGTATATTATGGTATAAACATTCAACAACCAACTATAAAATAACTCCTGTCGTCTGAGACAATGGCAATTTCCATCTATACTAGCTTTCTTGTGCAGAAAATCAAAGCAGAACTTAATTATCCTTTACACCTTCCTCTTGAAGAATGACAGAACATGAAGCCATTTCAGATTACAAATATAATAAATACATTCATAAATCTAAAAAGCATCCTTACCTTTGGTCCCCCTCCCCCCTTTCCGTAATATTTGAAAGGGGAGTGCACCTCCTCATGTTTATAAGGGTAAGATTTGATCCTGAGCAAGCATGGAGTTTTCATATGATCACAATTATACATGGTTAATAAACAGAGAGTTATTTGGACAGTAACTTAAATTGTAATATTTATATATATTAATAGTTTCTATTGATATTATATGTAACAGCTGTACGTCAGGGGAGACTAGTCATATCTACAAATCTTATTGATTACATTCATTATAATTACTTATTATGTAAATTTATTCACATATTTACAGTAAATAAGAAATCAGAAATAATGATAGACTTGGAAAAAAGATATCTTAAGAATGTTTGCCAGATGGAATTTTACTTCAAAATTGAAATTTTCTGATATTTTAGGTATTAAATCTGACAAAAAAGTCAATTTCATATAAATAAATTGAAAGAAAATGAAATGAAGTGGATATGTATACCTTTTTCTGCAAAGAAACAAGGCAGCGTCATGCAATGTTAAACATTTTGCCAGAATAGTAGTATTATTCTACTCCTCTTGATTTTAACATTAATTAGACTAAAATTCTAGCTCCCCAAAACATATTTTTTTGTATGATCCCTTTTCAATGAACAGTTTTTTAAAGAAAAGATATTTGGCTATAAATTTGGTAAATACTTCAAATATTATGTTTCAAAAAGCGAATTCTTAAAGGTCCCACCATCTGATAAAATATAATTACTCATTACTTCACTTCAATATACATTAAAATTAAAATTGAACTTGTATCTTACCTATCTTTAATATCCTATACCTATATAACTTCCACTATCACCAAATAAAATATCAAAGCAATCTTCTGGATCAAACATAAAAACATCAAAGATTTGAAGTCCACAGAGTTTTAACTTCCTATTTCAATCAGGGCAATACTGCGCAGACTATTGGTTGCTTGATAGATCGTTACAATACAATTACAGTATTAGACTAACAAGAAAAATCAACAACAGCAAGTTAAATCACTTGTCTTCAAATACTAAAAACAAAGGCTGGACTTAGCCTCTAAACTCTGTCAACAATTACAGCTTTCAAACAGACATTTCATATTTACCCACCACCATTTCTACTTCAACTCTTAAGTATAAAATACTTTGTTTTTTTTCCACCCAGTAAGAAGTTTGATAACACATTGTTATAACCAAGTATAATTGTTAACATTAATTCAAGAGGTTACATAATATTTAAACATTTATCAAGTTACATTTTTCACCATAATTGACGTCTGGTTGTTCAGTGGAGGAGAAATTTTTTTTTTATAGATGTCAAGGTATTTTCTAAAAACTTCCCATACTTTCAAAGACATTTATGTTACTCAAAAAAATCTTGTGATATATTTTCCCCCCACCACCCCCTTTTATGTTCCCACTACTTATTTTTTGTACCAAGATGGTCAACAACTCAAGGTTCCTGAAGATCCAATCAACAGAAATTTATTTTTTCAGGATTCAGGATTGTAAAAGCATACACTTATTCAAATGCTTTTATTTGTATTTAGAATTAACATATTTACTACAATATTCAACTTCCTATTGACAAGATCTATTTACACAAACCAGGCTTGTCTGACAAGAGCTCAAAATGCACGCACAAATGTGATATTTGTCATTATACTATTAATATTCTTAATACCAGTTTAGTGTTTTCCATGAATTTTGATTAATTCAAGAGGCAAATCAGCTAAAAAAAAAATGAGTCGCAAATTCCCCCAAAAAATTTCAAAAATTCACACTGTTAGCTGTTTTTCAGACGACTAGCCATCTTTCAAAATACTTCAAAACCTGTCAATAATGGAATATATAAAGAATTAACTTACAAAGACAAGAGGTCCACCATCACTATTTAATTTGATGAAATCATTTTTTAAATCTTCTAATCGTAGCAGTAAATCATTAGATGATATAGACAGACCAGATAGAGATTCTACATCAGTCAAACCTGAAATACATTCACATACAATAAACAACTTATAAGGACACTGAATTCGAGTAAAACCCTACCCCCCTGAGTATTACAGCACCATGGATTGACCATGTTTTGTTGAAGTATTCACCTCTTTTTAGATTGATGAGGCACTAAGGGCTTGTTCCGAGGGTAACAAAAAGTAACTAAGGTTGGGATCTAGGGCTCCACTACCTGTGCAATAAAGTGGCATGAAGCAAGTTTAAGCAATGAATACAGATGTCTATTAACATAAATTCTTTTTTCAGGAATTCATGGAATTTCTTGAAGTAAAACAGAGGTGTTTTGTGCCTCGAAGATAAACGATTGTTTTTTTAACAGAAAGGTTCAATCTCATATGGCAATCATAAAAAGATACCTTAATTTGATGACCCACATTTAACCCTTTAGAGAATCCCCAGGGTCCAGAAAAATTTCAAATCATACCTGATATAGATTTAAATATTGTATCTTCTTCCAAATCTTCCATATTATTACCATCTTTATTACTCCTATCTAATGTTTTAATAAACTCTTCTTTTATATCAGTTGATAGCCCAGCAGACGCCATGTTATTATTATTATTATTATTTTCCACCAAACACCTCCGAACTTGTTGACAAGAGTTTTTTAACAAAAGATTTACTGAAGATGTGGGTATTAAAAGGTGAAAATATTTCTGAATCTACTTCACTTAGTTTATAACCTACAAAAATACAAATTTAAGTTAATTTATATGCATGACCCAAAAATTTCAAAATATAATATATACATATTCAGATAAGGTGTACTGTATTTTTCTCAATTAAAAGTCAATCACATTGAGTGCCTTAGCAATGTTTATTCATAATCATTATATAATTCCTTTTATATCAAAGTTGTTACTTCCCTTTGCCAGTATATTGAAAATCTTCTATATGTATTGGGAAATGATATGAGTTCTAACTTCTAATTGCTCTGCTGATTATTTCACCAAAAACAGTTTTACTGATTATTGTTTCTGCACTTTTTAGAAATCTCCTTTTTCTAAGAATCTTAGTTATCATTACATCTAAAAACTTCATAATTTTGCAGCAATGAGTGACTAAGTTAAAAATAACTTGAGATTCTAATGTTATTATACCTTTTCTTTCTTCATACAGCTGATGAAATGGATCAGGATCTTTGGTAGCTTTCGAATGAGATGATCTCAATGTCTAAAAATATATAAGAATTGATGAAAATCGCATGGATGTATGTCTGAGGGAGTCCTGGGTACCTGAGAGGTCCTTCTGAATGTTGACACCTTTCCAGAAGGTAGATAAATCTTTAAAAAAAGATCTATTTTTTTATTTTTTCAAAATTGTGATGCGACCTTTGCAATAGATGTCAACCTCCTGAGAGTTAACTAATACAGGCAGATACATGATAATTATAGCATAAATTAAGGCAAGTTCAAGGGCACCAAGAAACATGTAGAAAATATTATTACGGTAAATTACCTTGTTGAGTTCGTCAGTCTGTTCTTTAATCTGTTTTATATCTGAACTAACTTTCTGTTCATCAAGAATAATCTTTACTGTTTCTTGTCTCACTTTCTCATGTTCCTTCTTTAACCTGTAATATATAGGCTACAAAGATGCAACAATATCAAATCAATCTGTCCTGAATAATCCTTATTGAACAAATATTGTCTTCCAGCAAAGAATTCATGCTTCCTAGTGATACCCTTATCCCGAAAATAAACTGGACAAACTTGTCAGTAAAATTTGTAAGCAACTCTGCTGTGAACATTATGTAAACTAGGCCTATAGCCAAGCAAAAATTTATAGTTTGTATGCCTTTGAAGGTTAACAGATTTTTTCAAAATGATTAAGTTAATCAACAGTGCCTTGATATACATTTCTCTCACCTGTAAACAATTATTTCTTGTTTCTCAATATTTTCTCGGTCGTCTGCTATTTTTTTCTGTAACTCTGGTAACTGTGTACTGTTTTCTTTTTCTAGAACATCATACTGGAAAATAATCAAAGAGATTAGTTTAGTAGGGTGTTGGTTTGACTAGGAACAAGTACTGATTGACCTAATGAGGGCGATTTCATAAACCTAACCAGAGAGGGGGAGGAAAAAAGAAATTAAAAAACTAAACAACCTAATTTGAAATTACCTCATGTGTAAAGCGAAGTTGAGACATACCTACTTTTTTGAGACTTTAAACTTTGCTCATACCAAATGTCCCTGTCCCAACAAAAAAAGAAGAAAAAAAAAACCCATGGAAGTTCCTTTTCATCCTTTAAGATTGGAATTACACTAGAATGTCATTTGAAGAGCTATTTATGTATATCTATGAAGTTCATGAAGTATGAATGAGTTCCACTATGGCATGGTAAGATATGCACATCCATTCTCAGACAACACTTGATGTCACTATGCCAATAAGCTTGTCGTATCTTTTTTGAAGAGAACCCTTGTTACATACCACTTGTGTCAGGAGAGCAACTTTTTTCTGTGTTAATTCCAATCTTTTTTTCTCTCTTTCAGATTGCAGACGTCTTCTTTCTTTCAATTTCATCAACTTCTGTTTTCTTTCTTCATATTCAGCAACTCTGAAAATAGTATTAAGCACGAAAATGTCATATTTATATAAATATTATGAATAAAAACAAAACAGAACCTTTTTCCCACTCTAATGGTATCCAAAAGTGACAAAATTTGTAGAAAAATACCTTGACTTAGAACTGAGGTAAGGAACCCTTGATAATAAGAGCCAGATCGCAAGACAAGGGATATCAGTGATTGATAGTGTCCAATATAACAAGGTTTATTAGATATTTTTATGAGAGTCAGGTATGTAAGAGGTTATGTATATTAAAATGAAGTATTTTATGGCCATATTAAACTGCTCTTTAACTTTAAAAATAAACAAATATATTAAATTTTTAGATCATATATATATATCAATTTTGGTTGACAAGAGGGTGGGGGTCAAGAAATAGTTCTATAGAACTACTTAACATAATTGAAATATAAATTTGTAATAAAAATCTTTTCAAGAAATCACATCAAAAATAAAAAAATGTCCACAAAGATTACTTCAGAATCCAAAGCCTGAAAAACTCCAAAATACTTTTTTTTTTTGGTAGAAAAATTTAAACCTGTAATTCTGATTTTCAGGGAAGATTTCTCACCTCTTTTTACCAGCCTGTAGTGATCCTGGTGCTATACGTTCTGGTAAATTAGTAAACACATTAATTGGTACATCTAGTGATTGACCTGGAATAATAAATGTTTGGAATAAGTTTCATGTAAAGCCATAGAATTTCTACAGATTTAATATCAAATATTATATACTCAGCATTTTAAATTTGGTAAATGAATGAATTAATAACATGAGATCTTTCAGATCTTGCCAGATTATCTGTATTCAATTAGGATCTGGGCAAATAAGGAAAAGGATATTTTATTATTGAATTTTGCCAATTATATTTCATCATAAATTCAGAGTGAGCCAAGAGCCATCAATGACAGTGTACAGATGTAAACTCCTAAGATCCTGCCAAGATTCTCAGATCTATTTAAGGTCACCTGACATTTACTCAACCTTGCAATTTTTAGTAAATCATTAACAAAAGAGAGCAAGAGTCTGACCTGTATCATTTATAAAAAGTTTTTATTTAAATTATTGAAGAAGGTAATAAAGATAGACAGAGCTATAAGATCACTGACCATATAAACATAGCTATTTAACTCTATTCAACATGTAAAACACAATAAGGGTCAGTCTCCCATATATATACTCCTGGATAAATAACAACAATAACTAGGCCTAGATCTTCCCTTACAATTTCAACTTTATTACAAAGGGAAGAAAATATTGAACACTTTCTCAATAGTTACAGCTTGTTTCATTAGGGTACAAATAGTCAATCTGTCATACCAGAATTTCAGATATATTGATAAAGTCTTAGATTATAAGAATTACTAATACTTATTTTGGACAGAATTTAATTAATGTGGTAAACATCATGAATTTCTGCCATTTTGTCTGCAACTTATGGTTCCTGTCTCTCAAAATTTTGGAGCGCCCAATTCGTTGTCCACAAGATGTTCTATCTTTTATTGTAAACTTATTGTACACTTAATGTAAACTTATTGTAAACTGACTGTTTATGAACTGTATAGATATGACAATAGACAGTTAGTCATTATCAGATTAAATCCTCTACTAAATAAAACATTAAATGAGACTAATCCTGAATAATCATTGTCCTCTTACACTATATCAACTTGAAATAGATTATTAACTTTACACTTCATTAAATCTATATAGACCTAGGTAAGGGACAGGCTTTAAGAGTTGACACTCATAAGTTCTATTTATGGCATGAAAAGAAAAAAGGTTCGACATTGATTTTATAGCCTGCATCTGAGTACGGTACAAATTCTAAATTGCCAAATGCCATGAAAATGGTTGAGAAGGCAGTAAAAACTATAGTTTACAAGGAAACACCTCTCTAAAAGGCAGAACCTCTAGACACTGATCATGATAGTGTTTATTATCAGTGCACACTAAGTCCTGAATCAACTGGAATAATTAGGAAAAAATACTTTTTCAAGGTCCCAAGATTATTTTCCTTATCTTTCATTCAACCTGTCAGTGATGCACGTCGGAGGGAATGGCATGGGAAAGAAATAGGGTTGTTTAGATAGGACAAGTAACTACACAAGTTGCATTATGTCATGTTGAAAACTTGAAGAACCTGAACATTCAAGTGGCACATGACTATCAAGGTACATGTAGATAATTCTAACAGATAAAAAGATAAAGATACAGACCTTGTTTGATAAGTTTGATAAGTTGACAAGCTACGGTCCATTCACCATAATCTAATCTTCCATCTCGATTAATATCAGATAAATCCCAGATAATCTTTAACTCTTCTGTATTAACACCAGTAGCTGTCAAGATGACCTTAGCTGTTGAACCTAGAAATTTAAAATACATGCACCATTTTTTTAGCAAAGATTGATTCCCCATTTCTTTTTTCTCCATTCTCCTTCTATATAAAAGCAATTATGTGCAGAAAAAAAGTCCAAAAACTCCATCCTTAATTTGCAAGAAACAAGTATCCAATTTCATAAATGATTTGTGAAAATTACGTGATAGATTAAAAATGTTATATTACCTTCAATAAAACCAGTATTATTTACATCAATAGCTTCGAAAATCTTAGAGAAGATGATTTTCTCTTCCTGTGTCAGAAATGGAAGGGAAACAGGAGATTTTTCTGGTGGTCGTAAAGCAGCAGACAGGGATCTGGGTAGTTTCTTTCCCTGAAGAGCTCCATGACAGAAATACATGGTGAGAATGAATTCTTCCACTGTGAGTAGATTGTCATTACTGATGTCTGCTAGGTTCCTGGAAATAAAGATATTCTTCTTTTATAGTAACAAAATATTTTCACTGTTGGCAAATTCTATCTCATATACCTCTTAGGTAATCTAATTAAAATTAAATTACTTTCTCATTCCTTTTTTTCTGATATTTTTCTTCTCATTTGTAATCTAACAAGTTTTCAACCACAGTAACATTCTAGTGACTGTAAATTTAACCAATCAAGAATGTAAGACTCATTAAGGAAGAATTGTGTATTTATGAAGGTTAAGTGTATGTACAGTTATTAATATATTCTCTTCACTGCCAAATAGTTTTTAACAAATTTTCTTTATAAAATGACTGAAGTACAACTGACATTAGAAATCACACAATATATTGTGTTAAATTTTTCTTTATACAAAATTGCAATAGTGCCAACGGAGAGTCTATGTGTCCCCTTTGTGCAGTAAAATCCTCTTCACAAGCACTTTAATTCCTAAGATCAATGATTGAACTGTTTGGGGGATATTTGAATTTAATATCATGTTTGATCATCTATAAATTTTGATGAATAAGTTATTTAAGGACCATATATTTCATTGATAAAGATCGGTAGGGTAGGTATGTCTAGCCATCCTAATGAGAGGAGCAAGGTCACAGGTCAATTTTAAAGTTTTTTTTAGCATTAACACTTGATAGTAATGGATTTAGTAATGGACTGAGTTTTGATGATATAGGCTAAGTTTGATATAGAGGTTGAAAGAGGCGATACTATGTCCAATACTGGAAACACAGGCCACTACATCAGATATTTTGTTGCTTTGAGAAGGATTCAAACTCAATGCACCTAATCGCCTAGTAGACTTAATCAGAGATCAATTTGTAGTAGTCTCCACTAGAATGTAGAAACACCTTGAGAAAGTGAATCTGGCACTAGATAAGATATTCTTTGAAAATTCAGATTTGGTTACATTCATAGCTGTATATAACTAATTCTTATTTCTATCTTTTAAGATACATATTTTAATTAAAAAAATCATGTAAAATAAACACTGTAAGGGATAGATAATAGATAATAGCTAGGGATTTGGATTTAAAGGGTTTCTATAAGTAAAGGTCAAAATGTAATAAAAGGAGTTATTTTATGAGGGTTTTGTAAATATTTGTTATTTAGTAATATCTTATACATGTTCATATATCACACTCAGTCAATGAAGAATTCTTCTTTATATACTAAGTTATAAAACCCTCAATGGAAATATGAATCCATTGAAGGCATATGAAATCTCAGATATCAAACAAAGAAAAAACCAACCGTTTTTTACAGGGATAACAACTAAGGTTCACAAGCATCCTGTCTATCATCTGGCCAAACCTCTTGGCACTGATTATTCCAGGAATATGTGTAATCATTTACAGCTTGGTTGACTGGGAAGATGACTTGCTCAAGGGTGATACATTATGTGCCTTTCTTTCAGCAGAATTTCCATTGCTCTTGCATGTGGAAACTCCACCCACTATTCAGAAGCATTAAAAGCCAATGTCCAATGTTGGAAGCTTTATTGTTTGAACATGAGAGAACATGGTTGTAACTGGTTGTTTAAAAGATGAAAGTGATGCTGAACAAGCCACATCAATAAAATTCAATAGACAGAACATGTATATCAAATGTATGATGTTATTGACACAGGATAACTGAATAGTTTCATTTTACAAAGAGAAATAGGTTCCTAGGTTTCACAAGTATCACAACTTCAATCCTGGTGCTGGTGCTGAGCTAAACCTCTTGGCACTCTGTAACCTATTATATGGTTAACATAGACTATATTTAGAGCTGGAATAAGAGGTTAATATTATTTCATTATTTGGTTCAAAACACTTCAGTGACCCATCAAACACCAGTTTTGATTGAAATAGTAACAGGCAAGATTTTGAGAAACTAATGAAGCATATAAATAACACTTGTTTCTATAATCTATTTACACCTGTTTTATGACTGGTGAATTTCTATTCATGAGCTGTATTTAATCTAATAAAAATGTTTTTAACACAAAATGTATGTATCAATTTGAAACTTTTAACAATGCTTTTGTTATTTTGGTATTTTTTATCTGTTTAACCCTTGTATTAACATTCTCCCAACCCTGATACCAAGAAAATTCAATAGCAAAAATATATCTGAAATCCTTCAATTTTTAAATAAAAACCTTTCTCTCTGATATCAAATGAGCTTAATGGTATCATTTAGATGGTAAAGGTAAATATGATTTTCAAAGCTTAAAATTTGAACCGTTAAAAGAATCTTCAAAATTTTTCTTTTCATCACAATTAGTCAATTACGAAAAAAATTCAGAAGTCAAAAGTATATATTTCTATTGAATCTTTTTCATTTAAATCAAAAGTTTTTCCTTCTCTAACTCTCATGTGAATCTTCAGGTTTTCAAGTCTTTACTACCGTTACTTATCATCTAATTTAAAACTGACAAACTGTTGACTTTGTTAGATGTGAAGTGATAGCAGGTGACACAGTCCCTGTCAAATATTACATATACATAACATCTACTTTCACATTGTCAACATGGCCTCAAGAGGGGGCCAAATACCATATTTTATGTAATAAGCACACCATTTGACTCATCTCATATTGTCAATGGTGGTACAGATATTTGAATCTGATCTTCAATCCAACTAGCCATTATATAATCAGAATAAAATCATCACTATCCATAACACTTTAACATGTTAACAAATTTGATAAAACAAAACTAGGATTTCTAGGATATCCTAGCGCTTTCGTGATTTACATAGCCTAGAAAGCATGAAGGTAGGAGGGAAAGAGACTCTTTAGTGACTAGAATCAGTATGAAGGGTTAAGAGCCAGGTTTGAAAGACAAGTAACATCAAAATTAAAGCACCATGACTTGTTTTATACACTAATAAATTTAATTTTAGTTTAATTTTCATCAATCCGAAATTTTCACACATGGAGATTTTGCATTAAGGTAATTTCAACCTAGCTCAATTTAACAAAAAATGCTCTAAAAATCAAATTCAGTGCCAAATATTTGCTACTTGTAAATACAGAGAAAAGAATGGTTAAATATATGAAATACGGTATCTTCAATGTACAATGTCTATCTACTTCAGTCATAGAGGCCCTTAAAATCAGGACAAAAATCTGAATCAATTTATTTGTTGGCTATTGTAAATAATACAGTGAAGTCTAAAAAACTCTTATAGGCTTTTTGTTACATACTTTTACCAATAAATATATGTCAATTACTTGTATCATATCTAGCGAAATCTCATCAAACCTGTTCACTGAACCTTGATATAGATATAGTAAGATACTTCACAATGTATAACACTGGTTATATGATCTGATGGTTTGATTACTTAAAATCAATGTTATGAGTCTTTGAGAAATTTGCTTCATGGCAAAGCTTTAATTAAAGGGATTGTAAAGCGGTTTTCAAAATTGCAAATCCCCAATACACATAAAAAATTTTAAAAACCTCTTTACAATCCCTTTAATCTTTATTCTCCATGAAAAAATAAAATAGGTTGACAACATCTCTTGATAAGGCTGCCTGTATGAGCAAGTGAAACAATGAGTTAATAGGTTTGAGAAGGAGTGTATCTATTCATCTTGTCTTTCTTTGCTGTGCATATTTCTATATAACTAACAACACTGTATAACAACACATGATATATATATATCTTAACACCTTTGACCATATTATATTAATGATATCATATATGAAACTTTATCTATGATAAACTGTTTTTGTCAAAATGTATGACAAGCATTTATTATGAGGCATAGTTTTTTTAATGAATTATCATGTGAATTGGTGGCATTGTTTATCATCAACACTAGTGTTAGAAATTAAAAAAAATTTAATGGCTTACCAGATTTGACTAAGGGTAGGTAATGGTAATCCTGAATGAAGGAAAAAGTCTCTTGCTTTTTCTCCTGAAACATTAAAAAAAATATAATGTTCAAAGTGTTCTACCAGGTCTACTAGCAATGAATACAAAGAATCTCACAGAATCTGTTGTAGTTGACACAAGAGAAACACTTATATTGCAGAATTGACTGACTGCTTGCTAACTATCGCAATCAACCAAATGTTGCAAACAGTTGTTGAAAATCCTGTTGATGTCAGACTTTGCTAGTCTCTAGTTCAATCAGATCCCCCTTATTGAAATCAGTAAAACCCTAGACTGTGTATTAAAGCCTCGGTCGGTGCTGCTGCTTCTCTTACAGAACAAAATATTGTTATTTGTTACTTTTATTACAAGTTTCTTATTTTTAAAAACTTACCAATAAGGTAACCATCAACAGGGCCCTGACTGTAGAATAATAAGGAATATAATATTCTAGCATCTGGACTAACTGGTGGCCATTCATTCTTATCTACAAAATAAATTAACAAAAATAAACATTGAACTTAATTCTTTTCTGCAACGACTGCAACTTATTTTGATTATTAAAGGGATTATAAAGAGGTTTTCTTAATTTTTTATGTTAATCGGGGATACTGATATAAATTTACACCATTCCAATTTTCAATCAGACGTCTCTGGTACCAGCAACTCCACCAACTAAGTTTTTGGTCACGTGACTAATTGCGAGGGGCTTAATGTGATAAAGCATGTTTGCAATTAGAGATGTCATAAAACAGTTATTTTTTGCAGGAGTCAAAGACGTCTGACTAAAATGGTGCAAATTGATGCTATTAGTGTTCGCAATCCACATACAACATTTAGAAAACCTTTTTACAATCCTTTTAGGATGAAAAAATAAGTCAGATTACTTGTGGATGCATTATTCAGTTTTATTCTAGCAGGCCTGTCTTTCAGGTAGGAGACCTAGGTAACTATCAAAACTTTGGCTATCAAAATTGTTGTATTCAAGTAAATTATACATGCATGTAAACAAATATTTAGAGTATGAGTGTATATTTAGTAATAGAATGTAATTGGAATGTCATTAGCATATCATTATTGAAATGTTGTATATATATCTATCTTTAACTATTATCGTGTAAAATTTCCCTATTTAACAATTTGTAAACAATATTTGTCAGCGTGATGTAGCCCTCAAATTACAATCCAGGCTGCTCTAGGCTATGTCAATGTTTACATATGAAATATTTCAGTCTGTATTTCATTCAATCTGTCATGGTTGATTGAAATATTTTATATCTTTATAATCAGGATAAGCTATCCATTATCAATTACAAATATATCTATTTTTTACTTGCATTGGAACATGACGAAATTTGTGTGTGTTCATATTTTATGACACTCTAAGAAAGTTGTTAGCAGACGTGAGAACATTGAGTGCTTGTGTGGATAACAGATATATGGATTTCAGTTCCTAGAGATCTTTCTTAGGCTTATATTTAGGATGGAGCATGTCTAATTATGGCTTTATTCTTTGTGGCAATCTTCAATAGCCTCCAAAAGTACAAGGTTGAACGATATTACTCTTTCATTTAATCATATAATATGCATACTGTGCATGATGGAAATCAAGAAATATTAAAGGTGTATACCACATCTAATCTAATCCTTGTAATCGTGCATTTCATTTATGGTGGGTCTTCATTTCTAAATTTCATGATTGGCTCACATTCCTTTTGATATTACTTTATCTAATATTCTCTCCAGGAATCGAGTTACCTTTTTAAAATATACCCTCAAAGTATACTTGTAGGTGACCATTCTTGCTAAATGTGGAAGAAATTCAAGCATTCCAACATTCTACAGATAATATAGTATCAGTGTCTAAATCATTTGATGCGATTTGATAATGTATCTGAGAATAATGCCCAGCTGGGTATATCTTAGACCTATATCATCTAGAATAATTAATTCAGTATATATATCGTTTGATGTGACCATATACTAGACCCAGGTGACAGGGTCATATCTGTATTCAAATATTTTACATACTAGATCAAACACACCTCCACCATTAGAGAATCACTTTGTTGGTGTAATGTGCCCTCTTCACTGTAAACAGTGTCTTAAGGTTAAAATGCATGAGAAATTGTTTAAGATTTGTCCTGCTAATTTGACTTCTGAAACATATCAATTAAGCCATACACAAATAATATCTCTCTCTTCCTGTTTTTGTGCCCAAGACAGATTGGGATCTTCATCATCTTGTGCTGTGATTTATCAAAACCTCAACAAATCTTAGTTCAGTACTGTTAGTTTGGTAATTGATAAGGCATCTAGGATCCTATATAAGTATTAGTTTATTAGAAAATGGAATCATCATGTGGAAGCAAGTAGCTTAGTAACTTTTAGTAAATATAAATATTTAAAACTTGTTTTAGCTTTTGGAATATATATAATAATAATAGTTATATGTTATAGTTCCGGTATAGGACAGTAGTGAGTTGAATTTGCAATTAGGTGCATAGGTTTTAAACTGTCTGGAGGCAAAACCAATTTCTGAAAGTATGGTCACAAGTCAATCTGCCGTCAGCTGTTGACCACTTGAACTACAGGCTACAAATTTCACCCCAGTTTAACTAGTCATAGGTAAGGTGATAAGTAATATGTCATTTCTTCTAATTATTTGTTATATAAGCCTCTGGGGGTTAGGTCATATTAGCCCCACCCACAGGCCAACCCATAGTCATCAGGTATCTATCATTAATAGTTACTATATAGTAATTAGTCTAGAGGTCACTATTTACCTATAAACTATACACCTGGGGCCCTCTAGACAATTAGTATACTCCAGGTGTTATGAGTTAACCCTTTGTTTTGCCCTTTGATATTTCCCTTTGAAGTTCTTCCTAATTAAATTGAAATTAAATGTCTTATTAATCAAAATCTTACATGCTGATAAAGATAGGTAATACATATTTCCATTGAATTGCATTTTCCCTGTTCTATGGAATCAATAATAACTTAATGTTGGAGCTCACAAGTCACATTTAACATTTCAGATTACAATAAGTGTGTCAGTCGCTGCTGGAATGGAAGTGATTTGTATTAATCATAAGATACTACTGAGAATTTCCATGTAGCATCCTATTCAAGAATCCAAAGATCAAAAATGTTGTTGTTCTTCATTGAACATATAAAGCAGGATATGTAAATCAAGAATTCGAATTGGATTTAAAACAAATGTCAATTCAAAAATCTGTACCCGAAATCATCTGAACCTCTATAGGTTTGATGATTCTGCTCCATTCTGCTGGACATTTCTGAAGCCTCAGCTCCATTACTGCAACTCCTCCAATATACATTTTGGACTGCACATTAAAATACTGTATCATGCCTAAGGATACCTTACACTGGACATCAAGTATAAGTTGGACATCAAGATACAGTGTCGAGTCAAACCTTGTAAGGATACCTCAGGTTGGACATCAAGAATAGGTTGGACATCATGTCATGTCAAAGCTTATCTAAGGGTACCTAAGGTTGGAGATCTAGATGCTGTGCCATGTCAAACCATACCTATTGATAAGGAATATATTGAGTATATAACAATATGACAGGGAATGTGTCAGGTTATGATAGATCAACTATATTACCTCATGTTACCTCAATATCTTAGTTTTCCTATCATATATCAATCTAGACAGCTAACATCATCTTATGATTATTACTTATTAACTTAGTCAACTAGCTGTTCAATCTCTTGGTTTATTATGCATTGAACAGAGAATCCTAGCCGTCACAGATTCTAACCGCTCAGCTCAGACTGTCCATAGCGAGATTTTTCAGTTGTCAGCCCTCTTTTTTGATCTATCAGATTCTCTGATGCCACAATTGTTTGCAATTGTTGAGAGTTCTTGACACATATTCTCAAAACGATCTTAGCGCTAGGATGTCCTAGAATCAATGTTAGCAGATAAGAATCTAGGACATCCTAGCGCTAAGATCATTTTGAGAATACGTGGCCAGGTGCTTCTAGATTCTGTCAGTTGCAAGGTCGACCTGAATTCCCTCCACACTGTACAGTATATTTTCATTTTATCTGGTTAACTGGACAGTTTATACAGGTCATTCTAGTTAAAGTTACCAATTTTAAGAATCTAGGTAGAAGTTAATTATCAGTATATATAAAATGGTTAACATGTAAACTAGAGGTGATAATGGAGGGTATATCGATCTAATAGAGATAATTATACCCTGATTGGTTATTGATTTCTTAACCTATCATTATACTGGCTTATACTTTTAACAATCAGTTATATATCACAGGCAATTACCTCTCTGAACTCTTTGATATTGGTGCTAAACTTAGCTACATTGGTAAAAAAAATATCAACGGAAATGAAATAAATGAAGATATCAGATATGTTTCATTTGCTTGAATGTTTCAGCTTTTTTACACTTTGTATCCACCTTCTATCTATTTATTACAATAAAGTAATTGAAGATTGAGCTGATGATTTTTTGTCAATCGGACCATAACCCATAAAAAAAGCAAAACAAAGTTAAAGTAAGACCAATACCACTTGAAATCCAAGTTTTAGGCCATAGCCATTATAGTCAAAATAAGCTGGAGGGGGTAAGGGGAGGGGGGAGGCCCCCTCTTAGACAATTTTTGGCCCCACCAGAAAAATTTAGATGACTTGAATGACTTGCTATCGTTGAGCCCCCCTTGAAAATTTTGCCACCCTCTCACCCCTGAGACCCTTGGTCTGGCTTACAGGCCTGGTCAAGAGTGTCATTATCTCCAGCAAAAGTCAAAGTGTTAAAAAGAAAAAAATGTTAAGTTTGACTTGTCAAAATATGAAAGAGACTTGACAGAATGACAATAGATTACTGGAACTTGATATATTGACATAATACATTAGATGGGTGTGAATGGTCACTCTCATCTCAAATTAGCCATTAACGAAGAATGAAATTATCATACCAATCTCTCTGAAATTTCATGTTGACATACCAAGTTGGATAGTGGCATCAGGTGTTTTGGAGAAAACTTTCTGGCAGTGACCACCACATCCATTAATGCAACACTAAACATAACCTTTTTAGACTTTGAATAAAAGCATAAAGCTATCAGCTAGCCTTTTTTTGTGTTCGCTTGAATTGAAAGAGATTTTCTGAAAGTCTGAAATTTTTTTAATGTTATTTGTAAACAGTGTTACTTCCCAAGCAAAGTTTCTCTTATTCCATTACACACAGCATGTTACTGATATCTTATTGTTTGGTAGAGAAAAGACAGTACAAAAAACTTCACATCATTTGAAATTCTCTATGTGTAATATTAATGTAATAATTTGTAATTAGTCAATTAGGTAACTGCCACTGTCTGTCAAATGATTTATCACTTGAATATCAAAAATGTCAAATCTAATTACTTCTTCATTGACAATTCATCATAAAAACACCATGAATAAAATATTTATCATTCAATCAAGCATAACTTATTGTCTCTATTTTTTCTGTCACATTTTTTAAATATCTTTTTATGAATACAACAGATTTATAGTTAAAATAATTACCACAAACATTAGAAAGAAGTTGATTTGAAGTTATGTGAATTTTTTTGGAGAGGATGTCAAGTTGGTACTCTTGAAGAATGATCTGCCCTCTCCCAGAGTGACCATCGTCAAGATTGATGATGTCCAACATTTTTGCCAGAGTTTCATTTTAAAGCATCAGATTTTAAGATGCTGCTGAACTTAATATTTAAAAACTAGCATGGAATTGGTACTTTGACTTTGTGGGGTTTGTTCCTGGTGTCCAACTCAAATCCAGCAACAATGACTGGTTAAAAGTCATCAACTCTTACTGACAGTTAAGAATTAAGATGGGGAAACCCCTTTCTCTCAACAGTCATTGAAAATACATTCCTTGCCTTACTTCTTTTTTTAAAATACATTACTAACAGTTAAAAGGTATTAACAGCTGGTAAATGACAGTAATAAAGGTGTCTTTATTTTTATAACCAATTTAACACACATGACAGCACAGCATTTCAAATTTAAATTGGGTGTCCTTGTATTATCTGTTATAGGTATAGGGTGCTGAGCTCCCCATAGTCAATCATAGCTTGAAAATCATATGTTTATGAATATAGAAAGTTGTGTTTGTTTAAGGAACTCAGATGTTAAACATTTTTAAGTGAAGTCCAAAACGATATTGACAGCATCTTTCAAGAAAATGGTTGTCATCCTTCAAACGTCACACACGTGTTTACAAATATCAAAATTTCTAAAAACTATAGAACTTAAAGTTTATGATTTTTCCTCTTACCTTTACCTGTATCTGTCATAATTATAATCACTTTGATCTTCACCGAAATAATCCACACATTATCATCTAAATTCACCTGCTAAACTCCTATCCAACCTGTATGGTCTGTCAGTGGGCAGGGAACCAGTGAACCATGACAGTTACAAGAGTTAAAGTATGTAGAGGTATATGACAGGTATATTGCATTCATAAACCATAGATAAAATAAAGGTGCGCCGTCTAACGGTAGGACATCAGACCCTCTTCAAACTTGTTGGGGATTTAACGGTGAGTGTGCTATGCCATGCTGCCATTTCTTCCTCTTTGAAGATGAATCAACATCTTGGATATCAGTAGAGATTATATACGGTAGATGTGATCTACAGTTGAAGTTTGATCCAATATAAACAATAACAAAATACCAATGTAGGCAATGTTTATTATTCAAAGGGAAATTAAGATTGATGCAAAGTTCAAAAGTAATTTGAGGTGCACGAAAAGAATGTGCAAAAACTGAAAATAAATCTCTCCTTTTGCTCAGACTTTTATGAATGTCAGAATGTAATAAATCAATAATATAGGAAATGTCCAGTTGACTAATCCAGTAACACTGGTTCCTCAAACAGAGGCAGAGGCCTTGAAAAATTTGGAGATTCGGGTAAATAATCTGGAAACCTTTTCGTAGGACTGTATGATCCAAATATTCTGTTCAATAGATGTAACATGGTGTTTCTGCCCTTACTTCAAAGCACCTATCAGATTTCACAGAGGAGATTCTATTGGAACTCTTGATCAGTTGTGGCAAAGTGGCATTCCACAGAAACCCAAATATCAATTCACACTTTACCTGACAAAACTACAGACTACAAAATAAATGTTCCGAGAAAAACAAAATGCCAATAAAGATTATTTGTAGTCTGCCAGGCGTCGATATGTTACATTTTCTTTACCAGTAGTTATATTTGCAAGTCGACGCGAATGGGATTTAGAAAGGACATTCTATTTGAAAAATGGTCAACAAAATAGAGTTGTGGGTCAATAAAACCCTCCCCATTTTAATCTAAATCAATAATGGTGGTCACACGAAACACAATCACCAATTATTTAGTTTTCACACTCTGTCTAATCAAAGAGCTACAATTATTACTTGAGACTCAGTTTATTATTTTAAAATGTGTTTTACAGGAGCAGTAATATTAATTCAAGTGAAGTTTCGAAGCAGCAGTCCACTACAGAAATGAAACATTTTGGCATTGAACAAAACTGAGGTAATTCCAGTCTCATGCAAAGCATATTTATTCCTTCCTTACTCTTTATCTAATAATTAAAATGTGACCAAACTTTCAAAAATTAGATATTACACATTAAAAGTTCATACAATAGTAAAGATTTATTGAATTTCCTTTGAAGAGCTAGATAAGACATACAGAGTATTGTACAGGATAGGCCAATAGTTCTTATAAACCCATATCATAGAGACACTTAGCACAGTGTAAAATGTGAATAGAAACTTCTACAAGCCAATTACAATATTTACAAATTTAATCACCAAGTATTTCAACAAGATATACCCAATTTCTCTAAGAAAAACCACTAGACTTAAAGATGGGTTCCCTTATTTTCAATTATGAAAATCTAATGCTAATAATTATATTAATAGAAAGTAGAGGTGTTCTAATGACTTAAAAAAAATACAAGTTTGTCTCACATGTCGATAATTAATTCATAATTAGCTAAATTGGAAGAGAATTATCAGCAGACCAATCAAGAAAGGTCAAAAAGTTCTTTTTTTGTTTATCCAGACTGTACATACATGGACATTTATGATTGGTTAAAACTCTTAATTATATGCAATAAGAACATAATGATATGATTAAGAATACGTGATAATTCATTAGAACCATCAATTAATCAAATTATTTGCTTAATGTAAGGATAAAAAAATAAGGAAACCCATCTTTAATCGAAATGGAAGTTAAAAAGAGTTTAACTGAATTTTTCAACATTCAATACAGTGCTAAATTTTTCAAATTATATGTTACTTTTTGCTAAATGTGGTGCTAAAGCATCCTATATATCTACAATCAAGCCCTTTATTTATATAGAAGATAAATCAATGTTTATTTTTTATTGTCAACAAACACAAAATAATATTTCAAGGTTTATTAAATTTCTGATCAAAATTGATTTCTAATATTATCTTTTATTTTATAACAATAATTCACACTCAAATTTGAGTTTTCCCAGTTTTTGACAACGGACCTTCGATTATTTTGAAGGCTAGTCAAATATCTAAATACTGTAACTGGAGGAAGTTAATAAAATCAATAACAAAGTGACAATAAAAGGTAGATTGTCCCTGTTTAAAGAAATGAAATGAATGAAGTTTAATGTCCTACTTTTCTGCCCTGTTTAAAGAGGATATAATCAATATCGTGTGGTCACTGTTGCACATGGTCAAGTCGTAAGTTTTCACAGATACACTTTTTTTCTTCTACATTGTGTAATGGTAAAGAGATACCTTCATAGAATTATAAAGTGTATTATCTATAGCAATATACAGAAGGAATATCAGTTTTAGGTCATCACCAAGAAATAACCAACTGTTCCCCATACACTTCATCTGGGAATCAATCAAATATCTACATATTCACAAGTTTATTTCACATATAATTATTTTTGGTTAATTTTACAAATACATCACATAATAAGCACTTCAAAGTGTTTTTAAAATCAACATATTTCTATAGTCTAAATAAGATATTTGTTGATATTTCAAAACAAACAATTAGCAAATTACTTGGTTTGAGGGTAAAATTTCAGTTTGAATTTTCTCAGGAAAGCAAACATTGTATTCATAATCACTTGAAATGATTCTATTTTTAATCATCTTAGAATGAACATTAATATCTATCCACTTTCATTTCACAAAGGGAGATCTTCATGATAGTCATATATATGGTCCAAGCTTTAAGGAATTTTACAATGAGTTTTACATCCAATTGATCTCAAGTGTATGTTACAATAGGATGACATGATGGTATTAATGTTGCTGGCATGCAATGAATGAAAGTTTTGAATCAATATGAATACATGATAAGCACTGTACAGAAAACAAATTTTCACTTCAAAATTTGATCCAATTCAATTTGAGCACTTTAATATACTTATTCAAAATATCAGAGCAGAACCAGTATTTGTAGTTATAGCACTAATTAAACAATAGAAAATTGTCAGTGACTGTCACAACTTAATTGGTTATTTCACAATAATTAATGTAGCAAATTACTTTGTGTCCTGTAACTTAATGTTTGATATATTTTTGCCAAAAATGAACCTTTGAGGTGGCTGATGCTCTTGCTGGAAATACAGACAAATCAACAGCCCTGTTATAATTGTCTAAATGACCTCATACACATTGAAATCAGAAACAAGGTGACTTCTGGTCAATTGTTTATTATAATTTATTTGCTGTTATGCTAGTCGTTCCAGTTTAAATTGTAATTGTTTAAATTGCTGTTCTAGGTTTCGTACACTGGGATCAGTACTACTCTTAGCTTGTAGTTCTACTAGATAACTTGATACACAATCTAAACACATTGTTATAAACCTGCGTCTGAAACAGAAATAGGAACAACTTAATTTCCATTAGTTTCTTTGTTTCTACTAACATGTCCTGTTAAAATAATAAAGTAGAGATGAAATGGGCTAATTATATTTCCAAATGAATGGAGTTTTTCTTTTCTTCACCTGATTGGATTAATGTACTGGGCAATGGGGTTAATTTGCATATTTAAATTTGTAGAATCCTAGAATGAAATATAAAATAAACTCACCTCTCCATATTAGGTAGAGTAGTAGGATTAGTAGTAAAATTAGTCATAAAACCATGTAGAACTCGTAATAAATGTAATGGTCGATGTATCGTCTGCCAAAATGGATCCTAATAATAAAAAAAACAGCAATAAGTCAAACAAATACAATCTTCTGAAGGAGTTCACTTTATTAAGAACATCCTAATTAACCAGAATGAAGAACACCCTTCTTCATCACGTAATTCCAGTTATAACAAAGTCATATATTGATTAAGACATTGATTAAGGGCCAACAAAACTTCAAAAATAGAATTTATCTTAGCTAGGAGTTCAATGCTCGAACATACAATTTGGAGAATAAAGCTATATCTTACCCTAGATTTAAACATTCTATCATATAGTTCTAACAGTTTTTCAGGTGAAATGTTTATCTGTAACATAACTTTATAAATCCAGTGAGGATCCATATTTAATTCACTACTTCTCCTTTCTAAATACTTCAGAATAAAACCTGTAAATATAATAAAATCAGAATTGTAATTAATACGAGAAGATGAAGAACATAATCAGTTGATTTTTTAGATCCTCATTTGGGATTTTTATTTATAATGAAATACTTTCAAGTAATCTGATTGGTTAATACAGTGAATGTAATTATAGTGTTGTTCAAACTTTATTTCCTAAATCAATACTTCAATTAGTAGGTAGATGACAAGTTAACGTCCGCTTCCAGTTTACTGATATCGTGGGCAAGATAAAGTAAGTACTGATCCTGGGTGATAGAAAAAAATAACTTACCCAGTGGAAAGTAGCGTTCCGTATCAGAATAGAGTTGAGCTATAACAACTAATCTGTTACTAATATTAGTCACTCGGCTTGTATTGTCTAAATTACTAAAACTGTCAAATTCTGAAATATAAACCAAGTCAGTTTATGTCTAGTCTTAAACATCTATCATGCAGTTTTTATACTTCAAATTTCACAAGAATGGATATGTAGAAAGAAAGAAACAAGGATAACATGAGCTCAGATGACATATTCAAGGTTACCATAACCCATAAAACTGCCCTTTGTGCGAGAGAAAAAATACAGGACTACATGGGTGGTTGTACAAATAAGGTGAATATTAACAAACCTTTATCGATAATATTCTGCCATAAATTTTCTATCAATGCAGCATCATATAAGCCAGCACAATGTACAATAGCTAATTTACATTCAGATAGATCAAAATTATCAGCATAATCTTCATATAACTGTAAAGAAACATTTCAATATTTGAATTAAGTATAGCTGAAAGTTCAAAAACTTTTATTGAATAAAAAAGAAATTCTTTTATTATATAATGATATACATATCTAGGTCAAAAACAAAACAAGAATTTTTTTTACAAGGATATTGCCTTGTGTTCGAGGAAATCCTTCTACCAACTGAAGATGAAAAGTCACCAGCCTTTCACATCCAGATTAGATTAGAACTAACTATCAAACAAGCAACGTCATGTAAAGATTCCATCACTCTATTTGACTGTGCTACAGCCCATCATTGCGTCTACAAAGATCGAGAATTCCCATTTAAATAATTAAAAGAACATGTAAAGAAACTTACTCTGGTAATATCTATCAGAGCCGAATCTAATCTATTTAGAGCCTCTTTCATAACAGGTGATTTATGGGGTATTTTATTTAATGCTCGATGTACTTGTAACTGTAATCTAGCCACCTGAAAATACATAACATTAACTTTGATTACAAATAAACAGGAATATCTATTGGCTCAATGTAATCTATGTGTAAAAATTTGCAAGTTCAGAAGCGTAAGCATATAAAGCTAAAGAATTTGTTTGTTACTAATTTTCATCAAGAAGACTGTTTGAGCTTCCGTCAGTTATATAACTGGTAAAACAAACCAGCCAAAACAATCCAGATGAGGTGAATTGCAATCCAATGTATATTTTGCAGATATGTATCCTGCTAATAAAGACAGGCAGTGCACAATGAACTGCCTCATTTGCTTTCTCTTTTGGCTGCCTAACTACTGAACTGTTTGATCAGTGTTTCTGTGAAGCCAGTAACACATTGTCTCACCTCCATTTTCTCTTCCAATTCATGCAGGAACTCTCCCTCAGCAGCCGAGCTCATTCTAGATGTTGAACTTTTAGCACACATAATAGCTCGAGATAAATATTCTATTCTCTGTTGTAGTGGTACATCCATACTAAAAACACAAGAAATATTACAAGTTTGACATGTGTCATTTCAGAAATGAATATTTCTATTAAATATCTAATTAAAATTCTACTTTGGGATTCAAAATCAAGCAAAGTGTTGGCTTGTCGTCTGCTAGGCAATTAGGTACCATGGGTTTGAATCCTCCTCAAGGTAAAAAAAATTCTGATGCCTGTGTCAGTGCTTCTGAGAGTTGGCCCAGTATCGGCTTTCACCCCCTAATACCTACGTTTATATTTTTAAATAGTGTAGAGGAATCAAAAGATCATGTAACAAATTACTACCAACCCAGGTCTATCAGCTAATCTAGATAATATTTTAGCAGCTGCTGGAAAGTTGTGTATCTTTTCATAATATTTCCATAACATATCTAATGCTGCTACATTATCACCTTGGATACCAGACTTTCTTTTTAAATATGATTCCATAAACTGACTCTGTATCTAAAAAATATTTCATGCACGTTTCCCATATTTTTCAATTTAGAACAAATATTGATTCATTATTAAATTATTATTTATCATATATATGTATAGAAATTTTCTGTACAAAGAATTTCGTTTTGGTCATATATTTTATAAAGATTAATCAGTGTTAAAAAAAATAACAATTACCTCTAATAATTTCTCTGAATGATTTGCCATAAATAACCAATCATACAGGGCTACATGGAATAACTCATCATCTGATTTTAACGCCAGTAGGAACACTTCATTTCTCTATAATAAATACATGTATCTCAAATAAATATTACAAGTGTTAAGTTGTTGACTCGTCAAGAGGGGTGCAGAGTTGATACAAACCATATTCAATAAATGGTTAAAGAATATATGCAAAATTAATAATTCCAGTTTTCAAAGCCATTCTCACAGAATGACCACTCATTATATTCTGGACGATGATAAAAGATCTATATTCTTATTAATTATTAGTGTCTACTTACATATTGTTCAGCCTGAACTGGAGAGATTCTGGTAAGATCAGGTGCTTCTGGTGGACCTGGTGATTTAGGTACACTGGGAGCCTGTGGATGACTAGTACTGGCTGACCATAAATATCCTAATGTTTCTGTTATACATTTATAACATTCCATTCTGAAATAGTCATACATGTGTTAAGCAAACAGTAACTGGAATGTTTTTATTGTCTACTTGCTGGAAGTAGATGTTAGCTTAATTAAATAATGTTCTATTTTATTAATCAGCATTCAATTTCAATATAGCCACTTCAGATAGGGTCTAACAACAGCCAAGTTGAATGTTTGTCAAATTAACCTTTTGACCTAACGCGATGACACCTGTTTCAACCAGAGCTGGCATTTTGTTAGGTGAGGTCAGAAGATTAATTTGACGAACGTTCAAGAAGGCTGTGTCAATCTTTAAAATTCTCACACCCACCTGTTTATAAAGGCCTGCATGCCCTGCTGATCTTCTGGGGGTTCACAACATCTATAGAAGTGTAGAGCTAGGTTTTGAGGGTCAAGTTTATTAGCCTCAGTTAAACACAGGTCCACTATACCCTGGTAGAAATTAACACTAGCTAGCTGATTACATACAGTAGTTAACTGTAGAGGCTGATTCACATCTTTAAATAACTGAAACAAATAGAATGGAGTTATACACCCTACTTGAAGCCTATTTGGAAAGAGCTTGATTTAAAAGAACAAAAAAATGAAATGAAACCCTTCTGCACCTAATTGGGCTTATGAATCTTGCTATGCAGTGCGCACTGATTGCGCAATTTTTTCAGGTCAGCAGCATTAGCCTGCTCTGTTACGAACATGAATATATTTTTGACCCCAATTATCACAATGAAGAGCTAAAATGGAACTTGATAAATCAAGATGAATATTACCAGGATTTTGTTGGTTGATATAATTTACATACATACCCTCAAAGCTTCGTATAACTGTCTTTGTTTTTCTCCTTGATTCTGATTGGCTTTCGAAGCATGGAGTAATTCATTAGCCTGAAATATTAATAAGAGGGAAGTAGGTCAATCACAAGTACTGATAAATTGAAAAGATAACTATAATAGATTGGGAGCATGCCTTAATTTCACCAGAAAGGGAGTTCTATTGACAATTTTAATGAATCTAACATGGGTCATAAGATTCTTTAAAGTAGCATGATCCTGTCTAAAATTGGCTACCTGCAAATCCTTGTTTAAGAGTTTATACAGCTAATAATGTTTATTTGGAAATTTCATAGTAAATAAAGGAATGCTGAAGCCTAGAAAATAACTTACCATAGAACAGGTAGCATCATCTGTACTATATAAATTAGGACAAACATTACGTAATATAGAACTGATATTATCTATCTTAGCATTATCTTGTAGAAATCTCGTTATTAAACAAGTTATTAATGCTGCACATAACTGAAATACACAATAGAAGGATGTAATTAACTGCTTAGCAAGCTGATACTGTAATTTGATTTGGTGTTTCTCTATAACTATTTCAAAAACAAAGTCATGATATCTACTGGATATTATAGATGTTCTTGAAGATAATATGGGTTTTAAATGGACAAGAGGTATATAGGATAGAGATGTTGTTTACAAATCAATAAGGCATATAAAGTTAGTTCTTGAACTTAGACATTATTCTAGTATTTAATCTTCATAACATGTTCTTACCTCTCTCCCATTAATTACCAGGTTTTTAAATGTCATGGAACGTAACTGATTCTGTTGGTCCTGTAAATAAAAGTGACTATAGAATTTTAATCATCGGTCAATTAAAATTCCACATCACAAAGCCTTACAACATATGCCATTTCATAGAAAGATCAGGTGTATTGTATATCACCAACAGGGGATGAGCTCACTTTCAGATTCCCCAAAGTTGCAGTATCATTGGAGCACAGATATACTAGTCATCTTAAGAGATGGTTATAGATGATATCAAGAGATGATCACATAGACCTTAATACACAAAACAATCAACACATTTTATAGGAAAATTTTAAGGTAAGAAAATGACCAAGCGAGTTGATGCCATTATGATAATGACATATATACAGACCTTAGTAAGAGCTGCAGCTAATACATGGAACTGATGATCAACTAGAACTTTCCACAAACCCAGAACTTCTTCTACCTGATGTAATAACATTCTAACATTCTGTAATGATATCTTCTCAAGTTTCTGGGCTTCATCTAAAATCAACAACACAGAATATTTTAAAACATAGCTTTCTATAATATCTTACACAGAAGCATTTTCAAAACCAGTTGCCCTGATGGTGGCTTTAATATCAGAAACATGGGGCAAGATATGATCTTACTGTTCAAATTTATATCTGGGTTCTCAGTTACTGTGATCATATAATCAGTTATGCACACAAGGGGCAAAGAAAACATTTATTGAAGTCAAATGATTCTTACTCGCTAATTTCTTCCTGGTTTGATCATCCATCATACCATCTGAATATCTTACTCCCATTATTCTTCCAGGAAAACCTGATGTCATACTAAACAAAAACATTGGTAAATAAATGATTAACTACCATACATAAATAAGATAGGTACTTATTATTTTTATTGCTATGCAAGAATAAGATATCAGAAGGCAAACGAATTAAAAAATACAGCAGATCCAGATCTTAACAAATTACTCAACTATTCCTACCTTTCAGCAGCTCCACCAAAATCAACTTGTGCATTAAATTCTACAAAATCAGATAAATCTCTGACTAGTTCTAAAGTCTGGTTGATTTCATCTGTATTAAAACTACTGCTCAACTGTAATATATAATATACATTATAGATACATCATGGAGTATATCAAGGTATGAGACTGTAACATTAAAGAGAACACGAAGAAGGATGTAGTTGGCTGGAAATATAGTTATTAGTTGGATCAAGGTGAAATGATCATGTTTTAAGTCATATTTCCTCATTATAGATTGTGCAAACTGCACAAAAAATTACCAAGATATCATTAAACCAATAAAATAATGTCATTCAAAACTGACTTACATAATAAACTAAACCCTGTTCTGTTTGACAGGGGAATTCTATTGTGGCTGCTACATCCCAAAATGGTCTGAAAACAGAATATATATCGAAATGAAATGAGTTTTACATTCTACACCTTAAACCCTATAGTCTAGAATTGTATTGTTTAAAACCTTTAACAAGCTGCAATACAATTCAGTGTACAATAAGGGAAATTTTTGAAAGATCCAGGATCCACTGTCAGTTTCAAGCTATAAGGAAATATAAGCCTGATCTAGAGGACATAAGACCTCAGTTGATTATCAATTCAATTATTAGATACTTACCGTAATATTCTACCTAGATATATACAGATACCATTATGTTTACCAGAATATAGTATATCTTGTAGTGGACCACCTCCTGTACTTATATTCCCCATCATTGATGGTTGAAAATACGACTGGTTAAAACCTGGAGCTGGTGTCGACATGTGAGCTGGATGCATTCCTACAATCACAACAAAAAATTAAATTTGTAATTTTTGAAAATATTTGAAAATGTAATTTCATTGAGGCAAGCACAAAGAAATGTGTTAGATATCATTATTTCCAGCTATCATTGGATTATCAAAGACAATAAGCTGTGTAACGGATACTTTGCCATGACATCTCTACTACTTTGTAATTTCATGTGTCCTTCTTGGCACTCTGATATAGCTCAGCATAACACATAAAGAAGGAAAATTGTGTTGAAAACTCTTCACAAATTTAACTAGGATCAAAATAGGATCCTGAGAACTTTCAGCAAGCTGTAATAAAGCTTTGAGCAAGATCGTTTCAGAGTATTATAAAACCAACCTGGATGTGGTGTTTGTAAAGTCTGTGATAAACTGGCATTAGTATTATATGGAGAGTAAGGGCTATAAACTACACTGGAACTTGGAGTGGCCAGTACACCTAGTAATATATATACAACAACTACAATCATATACAACATCTACAAATACACCTAGTAATATATACATATACTAACAGAATACACCTAGTAATATATACTAACAGAATACACCTAGTAATACATATATTCTCATACAACTACTAATATAATATATACCATACAACTACAAAAACATGCAATAAGCATTGACTATATTATATTCTGTGTACCCTTGATCAGGTAGATAAGATTTAAAACAAAATAAAAATATAGCACATTCAATTAATATATCAGTACTATTGAAGCACCTCCATTACTGGTTACATTTCTTAAGAACAAAAAATAGCTTGCCAGGCAAGTTAACATACGCCCTCTGGCAGCTGTCAGAAACAATAAAACAGTCTTTAGTGACTAAAGTATGAATTTTCTCATATCAAAGAAATTTTAATAGTTTGAATTCATTGATATATAGCCTCCACAGTGTTCACAAACAAATTTTGATGCGTGTTTCCTAAATCAAGGGCAACAACTCAAAAACCGTTCATCAAAAAATCGTCAAATTCGAACTTGACCAAGATCTCATCAATATTAATGATCACACCAAATTTCATTCAAATCAGTTGAAAACTGTAGCCTCTATTGTATTCACAAACAAATTTTGACGGATCGACGGACAGGGGCGACGGCAATATACGTCCACATTTCCATGTGGGCGTATAAAAATCAAACAATGAGCATTTGCCTGAAAAACCCTGAAATGCAGAAGACAACATCCAAATAAAGCAGTCTGGGATGTACCTCAAAGACAAAAATTTTAAAGATATCTTACTACTGGAATATGTTGCTCCGATATTTGAAGGTTGTAAACCATGTGTAGGTGGATAATGATATTGAGGCTCACCACCATACGTAAAGAAAGCCATTCTCGCCCAATCAGACACCTTAAAAATACAATTTCAAAACTTCAAACTTCATAGATGGACTTTGGCAATTCTAGAGCTTTAGGCAAAAATGTTTGTAAAAATCCTTAATTGTTGTTCAGCTAAAAATAAATTTGACAATTTTTTTGCAATTCTAATTTGAACATTTGCACCTGTTATATATATATTGATATACAATGAGTAGAATAACAGTATAGCGATTCCTTGTCTGTTTGATATTTGTTCTATGAAAGAAATATCAATACCCTACCTTAGGATCAGCAGCAGTTCGACTACAGGCTAATATTAAACATGTAGCACAGGCTTGTTCAACCTACAATATATATATTATGGTATCAGTTGTTTAAAACATTCCAAATGTCCAATTTTCAATAAGGGAATTGTTCATATAGATGTTTTATCTCATCCATTTGGGATAAGTTTAAAGATTTTTGCATCAACCACAGCATCACAACTGCAAGACTGCATGATATTATGTCATAAGGTAGATGACTGGCCTGGCCTATTCTTTATATCAAAAAACACAAAAGGTTAAAGAAGAATCTTACCCTATGTAATCTAAAGAAACCTTTAACTTCCTCTGAATCTGGACCTTGACTTTCTATCAATAATTGTTGTAGCTGTTCTACTGGACGTAGTTTATTAAATATACGACTCCCCTTAAATACAAACAAAATCAATATTGGATTCCTGACGGTTAAATCTTAACATTTTCTATCTTAGGAGGAAGTCTAACAAATTTGGGACTTTGAGGTTGGCTTTCATGACAAAACTCCATATTTGACAACCATGGATAATGACCACCTCTCTCCAAGATCATATCTTCCATCTGGTCAATTTCCAATGTTATCACTGTAGCAGGCAGACTATGCAAGGTTGGAACTTGCAATTTGAACCAATACAATTTCATATCTGTATGCACATGCATATCCATACTCATTTACACTGAGTCAACCAGAAAAATAGATTGCTTCCCAGAATTTAAGTCAATATCCATAACCACCCAAACTCCCCTACTAATAACAAAAGATCCTACCTGTGATGTGAGTAATACAAATTTTCGACAAGATTCAATATGTTGATTGACAACTATAGGTGGATCAGATTTATCAAACATACTAGAGGTTGATATTCTGGTATTTATAGACTTTATTGGTACTTCAGACATAGCCCAGGTTGGTCCATCTATTGTTAGAGCAGTCTAGAGAAAGAAAATTATTATGGTAATTTAAACCAGTTATTCTTGGGTGAGATTTCCCTTAAAAAATCATAACTAATTAACAACCTTGTTATGTTACTAAACTATTAAAGGTGCAAGGCTGGATATGATATGACAGACAGCAAAAAAACACCCCTAATTTGACAAATGAGCTCCTAATCATACAAATAACTATCATATGAAAAAGAAAGTGTACATGTGAGGAAGAGTTCACTAAAAAGTAGAGGGATGTCAAAAAGACAACTTGAATATTACATCCAGTCTCTTGATAATATATGCCTTCTTGTCTAATAAAAGAAATTAATACCTAATCTGTCAACTTACATATGATTCCATTAGTTGTGATTGTATAGGGAATGTATCATTACTAACACACCATAATATATCATTAATCTCATTCTGTCCTGCTACCATCATCAATACACCTATAATAATATCATTCAAATTGTCAGGCCAGTTATCTAACCTTTATTTATAAACCATTGAGTGTGTATTGCAAATCCTTAGAATTTTAATAGTCTAACCCTTACCTATAGCTCCTGTTTGTAATAATCTCATTTCCCATTTGCCTAGGTTTGTGTAATTCCACAACAACATAAGGTTATGTACTGAACAAATTCAGAATAGAGACATAATTATGAATATTCAAGTAATTACACTGAAGAAAATATAAGTAAATACCTTTAGAGTAGGATGATTTAGCTATATTAGCTGGTCTAGAGATAGTAGAATTGGCTGAGAACCCAGGAGGTAATCTAACATGTACTAATGTTAACATAGTAGGCCTCGATTTACCTCCACCAAACGGATTAGTTGTAAAATACAGACGTACACCTGTAAAAATAGAATATGTTAGAAGTTTTACCAATGTCTCAACTGACTTTTAAGAATATATGTATATACCAAGTGATTTATTTAGTACAAATTTAGAAAGAAACAATACAGCATAAAAGAACTGCTAGTGCTTCAGGACATATAACTGTATTAAAGAGAAACCCTTATAAACCCCATATATTCTATATTACTCGCTGAGCTCCCGCAGCTTCAATCATTTAGGAAACTAATACTATACCTGACATAGTAACAGCTACTAGATGTATATTAGATGATTCTGATTTAGTTAAAGCTGATATACTAACTATAGTTTTATAGTTTGATTTATCAATAGTTCTAAAATACAAAATATCAATCTTAAAACAGCTAGAAACATATATAGTGCAAGATACTTATGTTACATTTGCCAGTTTTCAGCTTAACATATTGTATTCATTATTGACCTTTTCCTATATAGAGGCATATAGTCTTCAAGTGTAATGTTCTTGAATTAATAGATAATGGATTGATAAAGTGAACGTATCTCTGTGACTCTTTGATGTAGTCAACATAGCTTGTGTTATTAAATGACTTATATTACCTGGCTATGAGGAAAGCACTCTGAGTAATATTTTGATGTGAAAGGGAAGCAACTCTTCCCATTCCTTTACCATCTTCACCTAAATCAAACACCTACAAAAACAAGGTACAAAATTTGATTAACTTAATAGTGTGCTTTGAATTACTTAGTCACAGACAAAACATTAAAAATCTAAGAGATTTTTTTTTGGACAATAGGCTGGGAGATGTTACCATGCCTAATTCATCAAATCACACATCTTGTCAATCTCTGCCCTGATCATGGATAAATTGCTCATTTTCAATTAACATTGAATATAATACAAAGATTCTTTAAGAATATCAAGCAGCTATATGATGAAAATACTCACCAAGTAGATCTTACATTAACATTGAATATAATGCACAGAATATTAAGCGGTTATATGATAAAAATACCAACCTGAAGATTGCCTTTCTCTGTTCTAGCAAATAAGATATTTCTACTGTTGTCTATACTAATTTGTACCAAAGGATCTGGAAAATCAGAAAAATTATTATAGATTGTCTATTCTTTTACACTATTCAGTACATTGTATCACAGCTACCAATAACTAATAATATAGTCATTTTAAGCATGAAAACCATATCACTGATCACAAAAACAGAAAGAGTGAAATTTCTACTCACCATCCTCACTAAATGAAAAGTTGAGAAATGAAGGTACAAGGAAAGATAAATTACTTGTAGAATGATTTATTTTACGACATTTTCTACTAAACCAACCATCTTGAGCCTACAAACAAAAAGTATTAACTACATTTTTTGATGAACCTTAAAATTGAGCTCTCGAAAGAAGTTCGATTTTGGGGTCATATTTGATTCCTCATCAATAAGATTTATAAAACAAAATAAGGCTTTATTTGGAGGTCATAAATAAAATAGTACTCAAGACATAAATGTCCTTGGGTGATTTTGACATGCGTAGAGATAATATGATATATTATCTCTTGCACAGAGTTTCAATCAAAGTCACCCTATGTGTGTAGAAAGAAGATTCATTCTAACCTGATAAGCAAGTTCATATAAACATCCATCTTTTCCTGCCATGAATATTCGCCCATCATCAGTACCAGTAATATAAGTTATAAATGTATTATCAGTAGGTATAGAGAATAGAGGGTCTGGTAATAAATGCATTTCACCCAATACATCTCCATTGTTTACACCTGCAAAATATGGTAAGATAAAATAGTCTTATGGATTATCATCTTATGTAGATGAATTTTAGTTACTAAGATAACTAACAGAATGGAAATCTCAAATTTGCCTTTTACATTGTGTTACAGGGAGTTGAAAGAAAGAGTAAAATGAAAGTAAATAATATACATACTGTTAAATGGTTTAGAGAAACTGACCCCCAATAATACAATATCTACTGGTGTTGCTATACATAGTAAATATCTTATATGTGGCTGAAATATATCTGTAATATAAAATGAAATAATTCAGACATCACTGTTTTTGCACATCTTGAACATGTTAAGTGTGTTTCAGATTAAGCTTGTTTAATTTTTTCTAAAAACTCAAAGATCGTTAAAACAATTTCATCTTAATAGAATGTTCAACATATTTCTGTCATAATGGATTTAATCAAGGTCACTTTCCTTTATATAATATCAGTAAATTATATCTATATTTTCAATCTTCTTACCTTTTTTAGGTTTCACTAGAGCAACGCTTAAAATATTCTCATTTAAACCATCAAAATAGGCTAGGTCAGTTCTGAAAAAGTTTTAGGCATAAATTAAAGACTATTTCTGGTAGTATTTTCCTACAGAACACAGCTCGAAGTGTCATTAGAGATTGAAAACCAAATTGAGTAGCTTACCCATCTTCATATTTCCACACAAATATATTAGAGTCGATGGCTAGCCATGCTCTTTCAATCTCTGGTAACAGTCCCATCATGGAACTACACTGCATGCCTGATATAAGTTAAGCAAATTTATTTAGTAAACTTTCATTTCGCACAGCACCATCTTCAAAAACAGTATTTAAGAAACACTGTTATTTCTTATTCCTTAATGAGTACCAAAACTTTCTGGAAAATGTCAATTAAGCTACAAAAAAAACCAATGGAACTAAAAGGAGAAGTACTAAAGCATAATCTGCTTATCAATATCATTTATTCATAGAATTTGTAGTTGGCCAGTTTAATATTCAATTGTCATTGAAATAAAAGGATACGTCCAAACTGCTCTACTAATTCTGGAGGTAGGGGAACAGTTTTAACTGGAGCTAATTCTCTTAAAGCATCAACACTCATTCCAACATCCGTCAAACTTGGATATTCAAAATCATGCAGTCCACTCACAGTTGGTTGGTCTGTAAAGATAATAATCATTAGTTAATAGCTCATCAACATAAAAGAGGAATTATCCTCGTGGAATAATAATGTTGGCACTACCAGTACATCAAGTTACATGATATTGACTTATAAACAGGAATTCAAAGAGTTAAAATTGAAGAAGTGAGATTCAAATCCCTATTGGGATAAAAAAAAAAAAAGAGAAGCAATTTTAAAGTATGGTACTGGAAAAGAAAAAGAGGGCCTTAATAAGATTTTGATGTTCTTTGTCTATTTAAAACTTACTGTGAGTTTGAACTCTTAGAAGCTCTGACAAATCAACATAATTCTGATCTTCTTGAATATGTTTATCAATCAATCTACCAGCATTATCCAACATGTCTTGTTGACCTAATGGTGGTATACTTCCTCCAACCATTGACGCCATTCTTATACCACTGTCAATGACCTCAAGGTACTTCTTTCTTTATTTACTTTAAACTGTATCAATCTGGAATATAAAAAAATGAGTGTCATTTAATATCTGTTGTTTTGGGCCTGCATCAAGCCAACTTTGATATTGAGAACCAGAACCTACAATGAAACATTACTAGTTAGTATAAGTGTTAAATTCCATATGGATCTACATTGATGTACATTGATTCTGGCACAGTGTGTTAAAGTAAATAATTACCAAGAAATTTTTGACACTGGCTGTGAATAAAACAGAAACAAACTGTTGGATATCAGTGTGTAATTCAAATTTCAGTAGCCCAGCCTTTCCATTATATTTTTTAATAATGCATCAGAAGGGAGAGGGGTTGGTATCACCCTTTTTTTAGTCTAATTTTAGACTAGAGATTCAGACTGTGCTGAGATAGATGGAGGGGAGAGGGGGATCTAGTCAGTTTACAGCTATCGAGAGTGACTTAAAAAGAGTAACATGTTTGAAGTATAAGCATTTACGTTTTATGACTTCAGATCAGTTGAAATAACTACGGATATAAATGTACTGGTTAAGATATTGCAGAAAATGTATTGGCACGTTTCCTAACTCTTGCCGCCTCCTTCCATTTTTGATTTACGCCACCTATAATAGATAGATTATCCAGCCTTTTTCAAATAAGTGGAGAAGAGTAAAGAGACTGGGTAATTGAAACTTTCATTTGGTATTCCGAGTTTTTTCGGGTTAGACCGAAGCCAAAAGAGCATTATTTACCATCAGATGAATTTGTAAGTGACGATAACTTTCAAAATGAATCAAAAAGTGGATTATCGACAAATTTGAATCTAAAATATCAAATATACAATGATAATATTTGAATTGTGATTGATGTTTGAAAAGAACGAACAGTGTCGAACATTAGTCGACCTTTGACACTTGAAGCCAAAGCAAAGACAGTAATAAACATGGCAGTGCTCAGCAAACTGAACACTAAAAATTCAGCTATAATTACCCTTGCTGGTCTTGCTTCCTACCTAGCCATAAAGAATATCATAAGTTTGAGACAAAGAAGGTATATTTTATAAGTAGATCTTAATTCTGATTTTAGATTTGTCAAAAACAGAAATCTCAGGTGTGTAGAATGTGCCGTCTCTAAATTCCATTCATCAATTCATACACATATTGTGTACAGAGAGGAAAGAGAAGTCTTAAATACTTTGGCATGGTTGATGAAAAATCTGTAAAATATCAACTAATTCTAAAGACATATATTTAGATGTTTCATGTTACTTGTCAGAATCTGATAATATGAAGCTAGTGACCTCAGATAGATAGTGATATCAGTGATTCAGCACGTTTTGTTAATAGACTATCTCAATGCTAGGCACGGGCCAGAGTCTTTATGCTTGGATTATGTAAGAGGCAAGGACAGCGTTCAATAGCCATGTTTTTAAATATTGGCAATAGGCCTAGCGCAAAAACTTGTTGTGTTTCAATTTCTGGATATCATAGACCAGTTCATAATGTCATGGTCAACTTTCTGATTTCATAAAAGCATAATTACATGCAATTCAACCAAACAATTTGATTGGCAAAAGTATGATTTTTACGTTCGTTCAATAAATTTTGATGCAATGATAATTGTGTGACACACAAGTTGTGAAACAGTATTTTTCCAATCTTACTTGCAATACTGAAAGACAGAACTATGTTATGTGTTATGCTTTAAAAATAAGTCTGAGCCATATTCAATTAAATCTGTATCTTTTTTTTTTTTTTTTTTTTTTTTTTTGCAGAAATAAAGCGAAATCAGAAATTAAAGTTGTTATATCACAGGTACAGTTTTTAATATTGATGTAGATTTCTAGTGAGATTCATCTGTTTTCTATCTATCTTCATTTTGTAATAAAACTCACTTTGTTATTTGATTCAAAACATGAGAATTATCATCATGCTTACTGGTATTCTAAGAATTTGACAATTGTATTTTACAGCATGATCTGAAGAAAGAGAGAGCTGCAGTTGATTCTGTATTTGTTGGGTAAGTAAGTTATTATTGATTGGTAATGCTCTGCTTCTTGGCTGTATAACTAATATTGTTGCTTGCTTGAAATGCCATCAGATTTAACTCTAGTTTTAGAATGACTTCAATAGTTGTATACTCCAACTTTAAGCAATATTTATTGATATGTGAGGTTTTTTTTCAGTCGTTTGATTCGTATTTTGAAGATTTTAGTACCAGGATGGATTACACCTGAGGTTAGTTCTGTTATACAACCTAAATAGCTGAAAACCTTAAAACCTAGGCCACCCCTCAAAACAGATTCGAAAACTTACATATCTTTGATTTGATCCTTAATAGCCCAGTCAGGCAACAATCTAACTCACTACAAAAACGCCATTCCACTTCCCTATAGATAAAGTGTTTTGTCTCGACCTGGAAGTTTAACATAGCTTGAAAGATGATTACCACTTCATTTCATCAGACTAGGATGAGAATTGCTGGAATTTATTTTGTTTAGAAGGCAATCATTTCTAATAGTTTTTTCCTAAAATCCGAATATTTTAAGATAAACAGGATCCAGAATATTTCTCTATGATATTGAGATTGAAACATTCAAGAGATATTTTATTTCATAACATAATGTTTGCTTTTAGACCTGGTATTTACTGATAGTAGCATGGTCTTTAGTGGCTAGGACGTATGCTGATGTGTGGATGATTCAGAATGGGACAGCTATTGAAAGGTAACTTCCTTGTCAAAATAGAATGCAGAATAATTGTGACCACTTCTATTTAACAATCTTATACCTTAGATTTTTGAAAATAGAATAAAAAACAGAGTTGGTCTTATATAGCATAGCATTGTCAAAAAAGCAGATAGTCTTCAAAGAAAGGGAAAAATTCAAAACAAGGTCAGTTACCCAAGTCTGCCATTTGAAGAGCCTGAAAAGATAGATTGTTGGATTAAGATTGTATCAATGAAAATTTTAAATACGATGTATTTGGACTTTGTACTGAAAGGCGTGAAGCTATATATTATGGTAACTGTTAAACGAGGTAAACATATTGAACTAAGGTTGTATAATAATGTAAACAAAGATTATCATAATTTATTGTTATTTTCAGTGCAATTATTGGTCGTGATTTGAATCTCTTTAAAACTCATCTATTTAAATTTATTTATGCTATGCCTATGGTACGTAAACAATATTCTGTTATGATCATAAGGAAACAGATAGATAAACATTGGTGGCGCCAGCCTCTAGGTACAGATAAAGGGCATAATTAATGTGGGACAACTGTCAGGCTTGAGATTTCCAATGCTGAAGTACTGTCACTATAGATAAATTATATTCCATTATTGTTGCCTAATGACATAAATAAACAATATCAGTGATGGCTATCTCTAATTGGGATGATGAGTTGACAATTGAGAGAGGCCCTGGGGTATTATTATTTCAATTGCTTATGCCAGACAGTCTTACTGAATTTGTTATTTGGTATTGCCTTTGTTGTTTCATTTCAGAGACATCTCTGAAATTGTGCCCTATATTCATAAAACTGAAACCTATATCTCTGATAATTCTCTAGTTATGAAACATAGCATTGTTACAATCAAATAAAAGACATTTCCTCTTTGTATAGTACATTAGCCTTCTCATCGATAATTTTGTTTCTTTTTTTCAGATATCTGTTGTAAATAATATTTTAAAGGTAAGTTAATTAGTGGAAATTTAATTAGATTCTACCTTCTATGCATACAATTAATAAAACCATCAGATAGATATGTGGTTGATTTTGAAATACATACCAATGTTTAAAGAGTCTTCCTTTTGCTTTTTAAACGCTAGAGCTGAGCTATACATGACACTTTTCAGAAAGAGAATCCATGGTTCTACAATTGGAGAAATTATTCTCAGAAATACTTTACTAATTTTTATTTTGCTTTCATCAGACTGTATTTATCATATATATATATTGATATAAATCTATTTTAGTATGGACTGAATGAATTAAAGTTAAGATTTAGAACCAGACTGTCTACTTATTTATATGATAGATATTTAAAGTAAGTATAATTGCTTTCCTTTCCTTTGTATTTTATTTGTGATAAGCTGTGAGAGTCTGCAAGTTATTATATGAGAAATGCTAGTTTCTGTGGTAGAGTTATCTGAACCCATGACATGTTTATAGCCAACTTTGTTATCATCAACATTAGAAATCTTTTACATAATGGTTTTAACAATCTAATTCTTTATGTTATTTTTGTTCTAGGGGTTTTACATTCTATAAAATGAGTAATTTAGATAATCGTATAGTGAATGCTGATCAGTTATTAACACAAGATGTAGAGAAATTCTGTGATTCCGTGGCTGAATTATATTCTAATTTAAGCAAGGTGGGTGAATTGTTAGATTATTTATCAACTGTCTTGTATTGCATTCCTGATTTCTATTGCACGCTGATGTATATGAAAGAGTTCTGTAAAGTTATATAGATACTTGTTATATTTGTTTGAGTAAACTTAAAGTATTTCAATCTTAGATTAATTCTCATCAGGAGTTAAAATTATAAAAAAAAACAAAAATTATTTTCAAAACTGCAAATTTGTCTGTTTTCAGCCAATCTTAGATGTGATATTGTACACTGTAAAACTAACAGGAGCCATTGGTGCACAGGTAATTATTATATCATTATTTAATTTATAAAAAACTTAACCTTCTTCTTGGAGGCGGTCGATAATCATTCTTTGTCAGACAACAGAAAGAAATAAGAATGATTTATACAAAATATAACTTATATATTTACAATAATAGTTTTAAAGTCCAAATAAATTTAATCTTTTAGGCTTCATTAAAAGTTGAACTGTTCCAATTCAAGATGGCTTATTTTTATTCCAGGGTCCATTTTATATGTTACTATATTTAGCTGTTTCTGGTTCAATATTAACTAGGTATGTAGGTTTATTTTGCTTTTTTGCAAACATTATTGAGTCTATGGTATATTCATTCCAAACATAGTTCTGGCTCAATAAAGGCCTCAAAGCCATGCCAGCAAATTTATGTTAAGGACTATACATTATATGTATATCTATATGAAAAGTTTTCATCAGACAAAGGACATTCTGAATTTACAAGTAAAAAAAAGTAATCTGAAATTTTGTTTGATATTGTAGATTACGGCGGCCTATTGGTAAAATGACAGTAACAGAACAAAGATTAGAAGGGGAATACCGCTATGTTAATTCTAGACTTATTACTAATAGGTATGCTAGTTTTACTAAAATACCATTATTAGCCATCAAGGCCTCATTACTCTTTAGTACCGTCTCTTTACATCAGACTCTTTAAGATCAGGTTGTGCTTAAATGTGCCCATGCTCCAACCCAAGTGGATTATAAATTGTACATATAAAATATATTTATTTTTTACAGTGAAGAGATAGCATTCTATCAAGGAAATCAAAAAGAACAGTTTACTATTTTAGCTTCCTTTCAGAAGTTGGTAAGATATATACTTCATTCTTTTTTGGCAGCATAATCTTCGATTGCAAACAAGTTATTATTCATTTATATGGTCTTTAAGTTAAGAACTCATTCATTGGAATAATTACAATAGTGTGGCTTGAGATATTGCATGTATCTTTTACCGAGGACTGGATGATATAGTTTAATTTGCCACATATTCTCATTTTCATTTTCAATTGCTCAATTTTAAGTCAATATCTAGTAAAACAGTTATTAACATGACAATATTTTTGAATAAAAAACTGTTATTTTATTTTCTAGGTGAATCACTTGAGATTTTTTATATTTTTCCGTCTACAAATGGGTTTTGTTGACAATATTGTAGCTAAATGTAAGTATATTTATAGTTAAAATTTATTCATAAACAAGTTCTCAACAAATTGCAACAGCCACATTTTTCTAATCAACTAAATTATTACAACAATAGTTGGGCCTTTCAATACTTATAACAGATGTTAAAAACAGAAACAATTTCTGAATATAAGAACACATAAATCTTCAGAAGTATGTTATATATGGTATGATCTCTATTATTTGGTGGGATTTAAAATGATGTCATAAAATCTAATTTGTATAGCTAATAATACATCTCTCCATATAATTTCAGTAGGACATAAAACTCCATTCATTTCATTTCCATTTCATTTTGCATATAATTTCAGTAGGACATAAAACTCCATTTCATTTCATTTTATTTTCCATATAATTTCAGTAGGACATAAAACTCCATTTCATTTCATTCCATTTTGCATATAATTTCAGTAGGACATAAAACTCCATTTCATTTCATTTCATTTTGCATATAATTTCAGTAGGACATAAAACTCCATTTCATTTCATTTTATTTTCCATATAATTTCAGTAGGACATAAAACTCCATTTCATTTCATTCCATTTTGCATATAATTTCAGTAGGACGTAAAACTAAATTACATTTCATTTTATTTTCCATATAATTTCAGTAGGACATAAAACTCCATTTCATTTCATTTTATTTTCCATATAATTTCAGTAGGACATAAAACTCCATTCATTTCATTTCATTTTTCATATAATTTCAGTAGGACATAAAACTCCATTCATTTCATTTCATTTTTCATTTAATTTCAGATCTAGCAACTGTAGTAGGATATTTAGTTGTTAGCCGTCCATTTTTAGACTTGACACATCCCCGTCATAGAACCAGTACTCATGCTGAGATGTTAGAGGTAGGTCTATTGACACTGATGTTTATTAGGACTGGGCAGTATTGAGTCATATGGATATCACAATATTTAACACTATCATAACACAATGGGTATTTTACAATGAATCCTATGATGGTAAATGTTTAACCTTCCTTGAATATTCTAGGACTATTATAAAAGTGGAAGAATGTTGGTAAAAATGGCTGAAGCTATTGGACGTATTGTGTTAGCAGGTAGAGAAATGACAAGATTATCAGGGTAGGTAATCACCATACAATTAGTAATATCATATTCTTATTCTTGATACTAGTCAGCATAAAAACATCATCAATCTTAGATAAGAAACTTGGACTTATGTGAAAAGTATATTTCAACATCACACTAAAAGTTTATGTTGATACCTCTTTTTATATGCCCACATCTCTCTATGCGGACGTATATTGTCGGCACTCCTGTCTGTCCGTCGGTCCGTCCGTCAAACTAGATTTTTTGATGGAATCAAATGAAATTCGGTATGTGTATACATATTCATAAAACGAAGATCAAGTTTGAATTTGAGCTATTTTCGACCGTTAGAAGCAGAGTTATTGCCTGTGCCCCAAAATCTTGAATATTTGGCATCCGCATGCCATGGTGGGCATATATGGCTGTGGTCCACTATCTTTAAAGTGAATTAATCAAAGTATAGTATAGATATTTTATTGATATTATCAACTATAGTGACATTATAGAAAAACTATTTTAATCATATTATCTTTTGCTGGATGATATTTCTATCCTGAAAAAAGTAAAGGTTTCATGTTATTATACTTGTAGAAAATACAAAAGTTTATAAAGAGGAGTAAAATGCGCAAGCACAGGCATTCTTTTGTACCCGGGACACTTTTGTTTGCATCATTTACATATCTTTTTTGACGATTGGTTCCTGTTGCATATAGAACGTCATAGAATGTAAATAATATTGTAAATATCATTTGACTTGAACAGAAGACGTAAGATTTTTAACCACAATTTAATACATACTTACAGTAGTTACTCATTACAGAAACATGTAGGACATCCTTCATTATTCTTTTTAAATCCCTTCTCACAATACATATTACACATCATACCAGAACAACCTGTAGGAGACACAGAAATAACAGAATGGATATCAGTTCTACTTGGTTTCTACTAATCTCATTAAATGTCTATCAAAGTTACTTAACTATAAATTTTATTTTTTTTCTATGAAAGACTTTCCCCTCCCTTCATGATCTATCAAAATTTTATGGCATTCTACCATACTTTGACTTAATGTGTATCTTTAGTTTGATATATGTAAACTAATTGAAAAGACGGTTAAACAGTGAATATCAAAGACTTTCACTGAAGTGGTAAACAAAGCTTTTATTTACTAATTTCGTTTATGACGATTTTCGTAAATCATGGATGTTGATCAGATTCACTCACAAAACACAGTTAATAGGATAAGTTCTTGTGTTACTGTATAATAAATATCTCTACTTACATGAACATGTAGGACAACCATTCTCATCACTACCTCTATATTGTGGTGGTACACAGGCTTGTGCAGTACATGCTACTGCTGGACAGTCTTCAGGAATAGCTGCAACTAATATACATAAGACATCATTAGTATGCTATAGAATGTTCCCTCTGAATCACAGAAAGTATAGAATGTTTAGATCACAGGCATAGGTTGACTAAAATTATTGGTTCTGTTTTACCAATTATCCCTTGGGTTGTCATTGAAATAATTCTGCTGTTTACTGAAATGAATGATAAAAAGACTATAATCAAACTTACCAGCTACTGTAATAACAACCAACAAAATAATGATATAAGCCTTCATGTTAACTGATAGATCTGTATGTCAAGTTTTGATGATGGACCAGGCTTTATATATTGTACAGTAGTCTGATATGGATCTAATTAAATACTATCAGTTGATCTTATCATTGTCAACATTTTGGTTTCCTACATCCTCAGTGATTGCTATCTTTATCTATAAACCATCAGGTACCATAAGGTGCATATTATTAACAGGTTGTGTCCAAATGAACTGAAAATTGTCTGATTTTGTTATTTTTCTTGTCAGATATTGCTTTTTATGTGATGATTAGCATTAGTTATAAGCTATTATTATTAACATAGTATAGTAATATATTTTTTTTATATGTAAAGGATTTTTTTATATATGAATATCTTAATAATTTCAACAAATATTTTTCCATTGCTGGTATTAAATCACAAAATCTCTGATAAGTTTGGTCAAATTTTTGTTTCAATTTGATAATATTACTAATGTTAATATATTACAGATTTACAGCTCGAGTAACACAGTTAATAAGAGTTTTAGATGATTTAAATAAAGGTCATTATGAGAGAACTATGGTTTCTGATAAAAGTAAGTGATAGAGTCTCTGATAAACACCATTAATTACATAGTTTACCACACTCTACCTACTATATATTTTCAACTGGGAAACTCCACATGTATCAGAGAGGTAATAAAAGAATACAGCATTGTTAATGTTATGTTGATATTTTGTAGATAATCTAACAGGAGGTAATCATGTAGCTTTAAAACCTGGTAGTGGTAAAATTATAGTACAAGATCATCTCATCAAGTATGTATATCACAAAAATAGGAGAATAAACATAAGATTTGTCCTAAAAATTAACATGGTATCAATTTTGGCCAATTTTGATAATATATAATGTATATAATTATACCAAGAGGACTATAAGATGGCTACTACCTGTGCTGCGTTGCTTCTACACATCTATTTTCGAACATAGACAATTTTCTAAACTAGTACCAAATATTGTTAGCAGAGTTTGGTTTGCTTGAAGTGAAACACTTGAAATATATTGAATATGTATTTTTAGATTTGATAAAGTGCCTTTGGTAACACCTAATGGAGATGTTTTGATCAAGGAATTATCAATGGAGGTAGGGTTGAATTTAATACACCAATCTATCAGCTCGATAAAGGTTGTATGTAAATATTAACCTTTGATGCGGCAGGATGGACAAACAAGACTACAATGAAGTAACGATAGTCTAATCATAACAGAGGAGCCTGTGACTAAATTCTACACAGGTCATACTGTGAAACCAATTTGATATATACCATATTACATAATTCTATCATGTTCGTCAGAAAATAAATGCTTTCAGTTTAACATATAATATGATTATTGATTATAGGTGAAGTCTGGAATGAATGTTTTAGTTTGTGGGCCCAATGGTTGTGGTAAAAGTTCATTATTTAGGACTTTAGGAGAGGTGGGTGTCTGATTAATGATGAAGGAATTAAAATCGCTTCAAAAAGCATGGACTTATTACCATTATTACAAATGCTTCATGATGTTAGCTTATTGAAAACACTGCTCTTCTGTTATCCTGTGTTTTAATAACAACATTCTCAATCCACCTATCATATTCCAAGTCCTAATTGATATGGTCTGCCAATTGGATTGATTGCTGGAGAGTATCATTCTACCTTGTCAATCAGTTAGTACACAAATTGATAGATTTATTATTATTTGTTAGTTGTGGCCCTTATTTGGTGGTGTAATGACAAAACCAGAAAAAGGAAAGTTATTTTACGTACCCCAACGACCATATATGGCAGTAGGTACATTACGTGATCAAGTTATCTACCCTGATAATAAAGAACAACAAATTAAAAAACGTGTCAAAGATGAAGATTTAGCTGAAATTTTAGGAAAGGTATGGAATTGTTTTGAGATGTTCTACCATTCTGTTTCCTTTACAATTTTTAACAAAGCATATTGCTTACCTTTTTTGTCTGGAAGAATATTCAACAATTTTTTTGAACCAATTTTTTTATCATTAATGGTCACCAGCCAGCTGATTTGCAGTCTAGATTGTATGACAGAAGTATTTTGAATAATTATGTGTTTGACCTATATAAAAATCAGTTTAATACGATAAAATTAAAAATGAGAATAGCTCGCTCTGTAGTGAGTTGAATTGTCTCAACTAGGTGATTAGTTGACTAGTAACAATGTTATTATTATTATCTATTATAGGTTCAGTTAGACTATATATTAGAAAGAGAAGGTGGATGGAATTCTGTTCAGGTAATATAATCTTCTAACTATTACAGGTTTCAACTTTTAAATATAGTGTTACTAGAACTTAAACATAAATAAAATAAAATAAAATGAACAAAACACTGGGTCTTGGTTTATTGTGGTGTATATTTTTATAGGTAATGAAATCTGTATTATTTTAGGATTGGATGGATGTATTAAGTGGTGGTGAAAAACAAAGAATAGCTGTAAGTAAATTATTAGCTATATATCTCTATATACTCCTCATGTGTTCAAAGGTATTAGAAGAACCTATGCCATGATCAAATACTCTTAGTTTAGCAAGCAGGCATCTTACTTGCCAGGTCACTTCTAGCATTGGTTCCCTGTCTCATTCACTCAGATTAAATGAAATGAATTGTAACAAATATACATGTACAATAGTAGAATATTTGAACTGTTAAAATAGTGCTAAATACATCAAAGATATTAATACTTTCAGATGGCCAGATTATTCTACCATAAACCTCAGTTTGCTATCTTAGATGAGTGTACAAGTGCTGTCAGTGTAGATGTTGAAGGTTATATGTATCAACATTGCCGAGAGGTATGTGTCTTTCATTATTAAAGGGGAATAATTTGTTATATTGGATAATGTGGTTTGAAAAGTTTTAATGCCATATCTATTACTATGTAGGGAGGGGACATAAGCCAATTTCAATGGCCTTGTTTTTTCTGAGTCTTGATTCAGAAGCTGTTGTATGAATTCATGTAATTGTGATAGAGAGATCAGTCTATAATCTAAATATACTTACCATTATTTTCAGGTTGGAATAACATTGTTTACAGTATCACATAGAAAATCTTTGTGGACACATCATGATGTAAGTTATTAACATGTTATTATTAACACTAGTTAATAAATAGTAATTATATGATGGTAATTATGTGCCAAGTAGGAGCCTTATTTTAGTTATATAGAATTAGTACTTAATAAGTTAATAAATATGATGAGATCTCATCAATATCAAGATATCACTATATGTAGAAATTGAGTGATTTAGTCAAATAATTAAAAATCTAACTGACTATTTGTGTAATTTGTGGTTTTCAGTCTTAGTTTGAATTATCAGAAACATTGTTTTGATTAAATGTTTGAAATTCCTTTGTAATAACAGAGTGTGATATTACCAAATAATCATTTTCAAGGAAATTTCTGAGTACCAATTGACAAAGTACTGTCTTTTAGCTCAATAGTTAGGGTAAAGAATTGTTGCCTGCCATGTGATGCCATGGAATCCAGCACTAGACGAGAAAAATGACAATGAGTCAATTCTCCCAAGAGTCAGTTCTAAGCTGATGTAACATTTGAAATAATGATTGCCAGATCAGGGGCTTATTTGACATGTTATTTTATTTCCAGTATTATCTAAAGATGGATGGAAGAGGAAATTATGAGTATAAACCAATTACAGAAGATACCACAGAATTTGGTTCTTAAAAACACCTCTAGTATTATATAGATTTTACTTGTTTTTACTGCTAATCTAAGTCTAAATTATTCCTTTTCTAATACAGTAACACAATATATACCAATGTCAATTTTTTTTTACTTTTGTATATTTTAAAGTTTTTTCTTTATTAACCCGGTAATATTTAGAACAACATCCAGGAGGCATTTTACTTGAGATCTTTTACAGAACATATTGTTGATGTTGTAAGGGATTGTAAAGATATTTTCTAGTATTGTTATGTAGGTGGAAGTCTTTTGTTGGACGATGATGGCATTGAATTCTTATAAGGAATTCTTTGGAATCAGAACCCAGAATCAACCAATGTCTGAAGACTTCACCTTATTACAATTCCATCAACACTGAAAATCCCAATACAATATAAATATATGTTTCTTGTTATGTTTTTTTAATAAAGTTTTATATCAAATTGTGTAAAAACTAATATTTTTTTAGTTAGATCCTATGTAAATAAAATACAAATTCTACTGTGTTCTTATAAAATTGTGTAATTTTGCATCTTGTGAAATCAACAAATGGACTGTACAAGTAACATGGTGATAGTCCAATATAGTTGGTATTACTTGATACTGTCAACTTTTTTTTCAAAAGATGTTTTCACTGCTCTAAGATGCTCCATGAATATTAAATAGTTCTTGTAATTATTGCAAACAATTCTCAATTGTGTAAAGTTCTGTTTTATAACTTGTTACAAATGTATATATTGTTTATGAAATCGTATAGAACTGGGTGCATGACAAAGTTAAGTGTTACAGTTTAACACAAGCTTTCGAGATAACCCATGATGTTTTCATTGAATATTATATTGTAATTTATTTCTAGTATTTGGTGCAGATAGTTTATTAATCAACTTTGTACAGTATACTTCTTAAAGCTCTGGTTATGATCATAGTTAAGGAAAATTGTCCTTTACCAGGAATATCATAGACTATTTTCATTAATATATTTAGAGGAAACCCTCTTAGGAAAGGATTTTTGCCATATTATATGTTATTCAAAATGCTGTTTTTATTGTGTGGTAATGTAGGAAGCAAAGGGCACATGGAAAGCATGAGATGAGATTCCTATAAGAGAGAATTGAGAGGCCTCTTTATTTCTATCTCAGTATAAAGAATGGGTGTCATTGACTTGTTTCACACTTTAATATTTATAACATATCAATGGTTGTTAAAATGAAAGATTTATTAATACTTGAATAGATTAGTAGATAAAAGTGTTTGACCAGACATATTTTATCTGAAGGTCAATAACTCGTTAAGTGGTATCTTGACCTATATTTACTGTACTATGAATTATGAATAATATTAGTGATTTAATATGATAAAAAAAATGGTTCACTAGATCACAGCATAATCTGATTTTATCCTATCAGAGATTACTGAGGAACGCAGTCAAATACATGAGCTTGATATATCTTCAATGCGACCTGCCTCTTAATACTATCAAACCTATGGACAATGCAAGTTGCCATCATAAGGGTTCCTCAACCATCTTATTTCTTTCATCAATTGAAAGGGAGCCATGTCAGTGACAGTAGCATGTTTTTGCTGTTGATGTAACTATAGTGTTAAAGAGCTTTTAAATGTGCTTTTGATCTTCAGAATATATGTCTTCATTTTTTAAACCAATAATAGTAGATATCTATAAAATCACCTGTATCTACGTGCTAAAATATTCATCTGTCTTAAATTAGATTCAGACACCCTTCAGGTTCAATAACCTCTATTGTATAGCAGGTACTTGACATATATTACTCTAGTCCGAAACCTGCTGTCTTTTATAACCTTGTTTTTTTGTTAGGAGCTCATAAACCTATTGTCTGAAATAACAATTTTAGATGGAAACTTTGTAGTTTTTCAGTTAATATCATGTCTAATTAAATAATGAATTTAAATTTGGTTCATTTTTTTCCAATAAATTGTTTTTATAGTAGTAAATTCTCATTAAATTTTATGAATTTTTTATTTCATTTAGACACCTCTGTTAAGATAATGAAAAAAAAATCTGTCCAGAAAAAGTCAGCAAGTCTCGGACTATTAGTTATCACATGTTTTCTTCAAGTGACTATTAGTATATGACCATACCATATACAGCTGTTTTAATAACCTACTGACTTGTATTAAATATCATTCTCTCAAGGTTGTTTGAGTTCTTCAGCAGTCTAATACAATATCCATTATAGCTATTAGCCGTGTTTCTGTATATTATTCACACATTTAAAATTTTTGTGAAAGAGGATCCAGAATTATTGGTTTGGCTGGATTTATCAGTCATGCTCACCTGTTCATTAAGTTCAGTTTGTGTTCATTCTAAATATAACTGAGTTTGGGTGAAATTTTCACAAATTGACTTTTTTGAGGTGGTTATCATACACTCCTTTCAAAAAATACTTTAAAAAAACTAGCCCTGTTTAACTCTATTGGTATTAATATAATACCATTCTAACAAACTTAGGACTCTAAGACACTGAAAAATATACCTTAATGATATTGATATTTTTGTGTTAAAACTTGAAATATTCAATATTCGCTTCAAAAGCTTTTTACTGAAAACGACAGCTGGTGAAAAACAATAACTGGTGATTTTTGTGATCAATATCACCACAGGTACTTGTTTTTATTGCAGAGTCAAGGCTAGTGGTTTACTTAGTCTGCAGACTGTCTATCATGAAAGCTCTCGCACTCTGCAACAAATTCAGCTTTACGAAAACTGCTTAGGATTGCTGAATGCTGATGCTTAAATATTCAATCCCATGTAGGTTTGATCCAGCATTTTCCACGATGCTATATTTGGCATGATTTTTGCTGTATTTGTAGATCATTTCCATCACAATCTTGGTTTAAAGAAAAAAAACCTATGTCTAAATGCTATGTTTAAAGTGATGTTAAGTGTTCTGAAAAGCTAATCATGCCTCTGCTGAATGGGGTTATAAGAAATATGACAAGTTACTGTTGATATAGTTTTCTGTATTTATATTTATAGAAGATCAGATGATGTATACTATTACTATTTTTATTGTATAAATATTCTGTTTTAGATACATACATGTATAAATATATTAATAAAAAGTGTCTTTCTCTTTGCCTTGATAATTTGTAACATGATGTTCAGTAAAATATATCTTTAAGAAAAGGCCTAGGATAAGAGATCAGATCATCTTGTTTGGGTTGTACACAGGATATCTAGCTGTATCATTTATGGCTATGTTTTGCAGCATTATAATTTTCTGTCAAATGTTTTTGCAGTATACATAAAAAGTTTAGAAAACCTTTAAAATCCATTTATTACCAACTATGATTTAGAACTTATCCTTATTCAAATTCAATAAAAGCTATTTCATAGTTTCTGAATTGACACTATATAAGTTGGCTGGTCATGAACTTTTTGCACTATCAATATCTACTATCTTAACTAGTGCAATGCGCATAGATAATATTTGCCTCACTTTAAAATGAACTTTATGAATTTACATGTCCTTGAAGATTTACTACACGTGTACTACGAACTTTTAAATTTGACCTACTAAAACATCTTGTTAGTATTAATATGCCAGGTCAGTATGTTAGTGTATGTAATAAGACATACTTATTCTTAGTCACAACAGGCATTATCATATGGCATGATTCCTAAATTGTCCCCAAGACTATAGACTGATTGGTGGGGACTTCACTTGCAGATATATACAAGTTATGAAATATCAAGGGTGCAATAAAAAACTGCAAAAGTAATTTGCACCATATGAGTGAACTATTGCTATTATTATTATTAATATATAAAGTTACATGTACATTGAATTGTTGGAAATTGGTGCTTTATACAGGCAAATTTATTGTTTTAAAGGATGGTGAGGGGGCACTTTTAACCTTGTCACAGGCAAGTTCAAGGTGCAACTGGATTGTTAACCCTGATACCAACTGGCAGTAAATGTAGTGGTATATACAATCATTTGGTTTCGTTTACCCAAGTGCACTAAAAATTACAAATGCTGCGAATTTTTTTTTAAAATTTTGTACTTAAACCAGCTGTCACCAGCAACATTAATGTCTTGAAATAAACACACTTCCTCAAAATAAAATAAACATAATATTGTCTTGTGTTTGTGATATGTACTCTATACTTCTAAATATTCTTCAAATCTTATATAGTTAACCAGCTGGTGTTCCGATTTACATGAATCTAAAATCTATTCTGAACTGAGATAGATAACTATCCAGTAATGACTTGTTAAGATAGTCCTAAATCCTTACACACTACTTTACAGGTTTTAGATAACAGAAATGGGTAATTCTGATAACCTACACCAGTAATCTTGAAGGGTATGTGGGTTCAAAGGATTCAGCCTGATATATATGTCCAGGTCTGTTTTGATATGATTATCAATGGAGAGGAAATTTGAATTATTGTGGGAAGTTGAATGTAGTTTATCTTTGGCACCTCATTAGACTCATTCAACAAACATCTTCCGACAGTAATATCAGATAACAGTATGCTATGACAGTAACATTAAACATTTTCATAACTTTGTTTTGATTCCTGTCAAGACAAGGCGTATATGCACAGTTTTTTTATTAAACCCCCCTTCTTCAAATTGGAGCAACGGTTAACAAGCTTAACAATACATCCAGTGTGACACAATTAATTATAATATTTTTTCAGGAAAAGCAGTTTGTCCTTAATATCTTGGATATGAACAACAAAATTCAATAATTTTTAAATTTTTAATGAAAAAGTATAAGCGATGGGCCAATGTTAAAGCATTGAGATGAATGAAAAACAGAATAAATATACATATTTACATGAATATATAACACTAGTTATTTATATAAATATGGTAGATAATCAACAATTACACGAGACAATATAGCACTTTACACAGCTAAATAACTCTCATATATACACACCCTCTTATATTTACAATTGTGCGGCAATTTAAATGCAGAATGGTATTATATGTAATGATGATCATGGCTGAAGCATGGATTACGTACAGTAAAGATATGAAATAGGCTTCTATCAATTTCAGGCTCTTTAAAATCACAATCATGGCAAGACATAGTTGAATACAATAGAGCATTTGGTATTTATTATAATTGTTGAAGATAATAAGATATCATAACTGACATTACCTATATTTTGATTGGTCAATAATGTAGCTTTAAATTAGATTGACCAATCAGAATAGTTAAGTTGATATATCTTTTGTGAAATTAGTAATTGCTTCTTATTAACCTACTTAACTGTCTTTAAGTGACAATTTTTCCCAATCATGAAAGAGAAATGCCAATTCACTGAACAAGGACAGTATATTGGAATTAAATCTGTATGATTGATAAAAATCATACTTATATAACATAAATTTATTTCCATACACATGTAGAATAACTTATTGACATGCTAAGCTTGTAATACCTTCCAAAACTTACAATATAATTTGATATTAAAGAATATAACTTCACAGGACAAGTTTTATTCAACAGATCACATGATTCTGTATATGCCCTTCACCTACAAACAAAACAGCCATTGTCAATTGTAACTCAATGATCTATTGTTTGAATAACTTTGCTATTAAGAAATAAAACATGTTCAAGATGAACCAATAAAGCTTGATGAGGTCAAATATTAGAAATGAATAAAAATGCTGATATCAGCATTATTACAGAATGAAAGACATGTGGTTTACCTTCTTATAATTTAGCTTCATTATAAAAAAATTAAATATATCACACCAGAGACCTAATCTCAAAAACTTTGAAATTAGTTTTGGATTTAAATTGTTGTGCCCCAAATGCCATTATTGTATCCATGTACTGATTAAAATTTGTTAAAGTTTTTGAGATCAGGTGCTCCAAAACACATATCCTTCATAAAAACAAACAATTAATTCATCAGGCTTGAACAATCAAGTCTATCCAATACCAGTACAAGGGCCCATAACCATTGACCAAGCATGTTCAAGTCAGTCCAATATACCGGTTAATAATATACTGACTGGCATGTTCAAGTCTTTATAATATACCAGTTAATAATATACTGACTGGTATGTTCAAGTCTATCCAATATACCAGTTAATAATATGTTCACTGGCATGTTCAAGTCTATCCAATATACCAGTTAATAAAGTATATAAAGTCTCTGCACACAATTTATCAATATATAATATGCCTCATCCTTAATAGAAATAAATTCAAATACATCTTATAACATACATCACATCATTCAGTCTTAATATCAATTGGAAAAATAAACACTCACTCATACCATATCATGGTTTATAAGACACAATCGAACAAACCTATCATAACAATTGTCCAGGTCACATGTACATCTCATGTACATCCTAGTCTTTAAAATTGTGCCATTTAATTGTCCTAATCACCACATTGTTTTACAATTACAGAAAACATATTGAATTTAAATCAATTTCAAGTCATCATACAGTTAAAGATTCATGTATCATAGCTTCTTAATGAATTATGTTAAACACAATTTCTTAATTAAGCATCTAAAGAAAATAAGTGAATGAAAATAAAGCCAAAAATAATAATGAAAATTTCCAATATAAAGCGTTGTTTTTACCACTAACAATCACAGAAAGTTTTAACAGATCTCCCGTTCCCTCCAACTCAAACCATTTGTGGAGGTCCATGGTATGAGTCACTACTCTTGTTGTAGGGTTCAATCTGCCATTCTGTGTTGTGACGAATAAATTTCCGTAACAGTTTGTAGACAGTATGTTTAGCTTTTATTTCAACTGTCATGGCAATAAAGAATGACACGAAAAACATAACTCCACAGCTTAGAGTGAGTATTTCTTCAGTTGTGAGTTCCACTTTGTTCTTAGGAAATTTCGTTACTTGTCCTTTATCAGATAGAAAACACAGCGCCGTAGCGATGGCACAGCTCACCATTACCAATAAGTTGAAGAAAAATGTGACGTGAAGTAACTTGTCTCGTAAACTAACTCGTGGAAATCTCCAGCTATGCAACTGAAAAACAAAAAATTATACAATAAAACACATGAAAAAGTTCCATATTAACCTAACATGTTATAAGGAAGACACACATAAACAATAAAACAATAAAAGGGCTACCTGAAGTACTTATACCCGTTTTTCTAACTCTGTTATTTTTCTTATTCCTATTCTTAATGATGAAGATTCATTCACAATAACAACTCAGTAGAATGGAGAGTCGGCTATCAAACATACATGTACGACAAGGTACAGTTTCTTTTTAAAAGTGAAGGTTAGGTCCATATGGACTCATCAAAAACGGCTTTCTCATCCCAAGGCTGAAAGTAAATAAAATATCCTCAATATCTCATGATATGCTCTGCAGTTGACAAGGCAACATGCATCATGAGCTCTGCTACAAGGTGATATATAACAGCTACATCAATACCAAGCTCGAGGAAATCTCTGCTAAGCTGACAAGAAAATAGTATATCATTAAGGTAGGTATGGGGTCAGAGTTGTACCGGGTCATTATGGACGTTTCTAGTATGCATTCTAGAACAGCTATAATATGCTGTATATATATATGGTATACTTTCCTGGATCAATCTCTAAGATCTTTATAAAAAGAACAGAAACTTTATTCAAATCATGGGTCATGTATTTAGAGTATGTAAAAATTTTCTAAATTTTATAATGGCCTTATAAAAAGGTTTCAGATTTCTTAAGAATTTTGCAAGTTATAGAAATTTCTTGTAAATGATTTTAAGAAACAATAAGGTATTTAAATATGTGCTTTAGAGTTGATAAACTCTATTTTGAGAAAGATCCAGTCAAATTTAGGAATGGGGAAGGGTCTGCCAATGTCTACAGACAAGAGATTTTGGTGAAATATAACTTTCCAACAAAAAAGATCAGTACATAAGGTATTTCATTATAGATCAGTCCAGAATGTGATTGTAATGTTTTTTTTCAGATCACATTGTGATATCAAGTATAGTTTTGAGCTAGGTAAAAAATGTGATGATTGCAATATGAGTATCGAAATTAAGTAAGCAATGAATTATGAAATTTAATTTTTTGACTTCAAATTCCCTGGCATCAAATATCATTTAGCAAAAATTCAAATTGTTATAATCATATTGTGATGCCAATTTTATTTTCTATCTAAATATTATGTCAATTCAAATCATGAAATCAATTCAGTTTACTTCAAATTAACATATTTTTTCACCTTGTTTCAGTTTGTTTTAAATTGAATTCAAATTGTGATATAATTTTTTTGAACAAAAATTTCATTTAAAAAAAAATTAGAATCGGTTTCAATCAAAACTTTTCAGTGGGAAAAATTGAAGTCTTATATTAATATTGATCTTATTCATTGTTTTCTTTTGATCTATCTTGTTGGAAAAAATCTACTTACAAGCTGGATGATTAAAGCATTAATTTACAGTTCTTTCTGGTTTTTTCTTAGATAGAGATTTTAGACATTAATTTTTCATGTAATATTTAGCAATTTATATATTTTTAAAAAGTTTAAAAGATTAATGCTTTAACCATTTATTTTAACAAAATCTTGTCTGTGTATTCTCAAAAGTGAGAATTTTCAAATTTCAAAGATGGGTTCGCAGAGAGGGTTTGGCCTTATCATGGGAAGGGTTATAACATAAATAACATATAAAAACAGGACAAACGACTGCTTCCAAGGTCCTTAAGCACTGTAGATATATAACAGACAAAACAAACAATAACATAGAATGTAAAAATTGAGAAGAAGCTCACCTTGAAGCGTTTGTGACGAATGTACAGGAAATGACACAATTCACATTGGGGTGGTTTCTTTGTTTTCTTTGACAGAATCTCTAACCATTTCTAGAAAAATAATGAATAACATTTTAAAAGCTTGAACCATGATCATTTAAAACATTAGGTCAAAATAAAATGCGAATGTGTAACAAATTTTGTACATTGTGTGCAGAAAGATAATGAGGAATTTTTCAATCAGTATCGATTACAATATATTTTAGGAATACAATATAGGACTTGTAATATTATTGTCAGCTACAATACACAAAACTAATAACTCAAACTTGATATTTGATAGCCCATTGTATGCCAGTTTATACCATAAAATTCTAGTTCAAAATTTATAACCAACACTTACCAATAGGCATGCATAATGTACAAATTTTAAACTTCCACTGCATCGACAAGGTGAAAACAATATCTCTGTTTTATCTCCTGGTAATTGACAGATTCGACAGCATGGCATATTATCTGAACATACTGTACTCGCATCACCCAATAATGGCTGTTTAAATTTCTTGATTGGTATTGGCGTTAAATTTGGGCTTGATATGTAGCTTAGACTATCGTCTTCGCAATCACTATCCTCCGCTCGAAGGTCTTTGGATCCGTACTCCATTTCTGAAAGTAGAAAATATGATATTCTTAAGTATTACTTCATTAAAGACAATGGTGTCTGAACTTATTTCTGAAAAGAAATGGGATAGCATCTTGTCACATACTGATCAAATTTGGATACAAGACCACTTTTTTCTAATATTAACTATCATAACAAACAAAATCAATCACCTACCAAACTCTTGAATCAGAACAACTCTCTCTACTGCGATAAAACTGAGAAGCTCTTGCAATCTTAGCTCATCATTAAGTTTCTAAATCATATATTGAAAACAAAAACCTGCAGTCCCAATGCTAACCTTTTTATCAGAAACATTTGTTAACAGCAAAGTCTGAGTTATACTCTGTTACATACATATCAAATCTGTAGTACAGTGCCTAAATTCCTCAACAATCTATTATTAGACTAATTCTGTTAGTAAAAGAGCATGCTGGTGCCATCGAAAAAAAAAGAAAAATATAAATGATGCAAACCATATTAAAATTCAATCAACTAGAAAAAAAACAACAGTACCTGGTACAATTTTATTACACTGTTAGAGTGTTTACTGACAAATTTATAATACCCCTCAACAATATAGCAGAACAGTTATACTTCCAATATTCAAACAAAAATTGGAACTAACCAGTTTGAAGCTGAATATAGGATAGGTAAATAATCACACCATTGGCTAATCAGTTGTTTTTTCTTTCAAATATACAAATATAGCTAAACATTTTCAATACATCATCAACAATAATTCAGTTATTAAAACAATAACAATATTTTAATAAGGTTAGAATAGAATTAAATTTAGTCTAAACATAATATTTATATGAAATAAATGTCACCTATATCAAAATAATTTTATAAACCACCTATAAACAAAACAATCATATTTGAATCGTGTCCAAAACATTACAAGATCTTGAATGAGGCAGTTTGTCCTTGATCAACTGAATAATATGCGTTATATTTCCTAGGTCATGAATATGACGACACATGTTGCCACTACGTTAACATAGTCCACATATCTGAGAATGTCAGTAAAACTCATCGAAAACTGTCTGAAATATCATTCTTTAATCTACAAGGCTAATGGAATCATCCAAAACCTATACATGACATTTAATAACATGTGACACTCTACTGTGCTCTATAATTTGTCAATTTCACATCCCAAATAGTTATTTAACTGTGTAATTGGTAATTACATTTCAGAGGACTACTAGACAAGGAACAACATACATTCAACCACAAATGAGTCACACAATCTTTGATGGAAGGTGGCAGATCAGATCTTCAATTTTTTTTCATTTCACCAACTCATTCGTTGCTGAGTTTTTTTTTAATATTTTATTCCCATTTTCAAAGTAGAGCAACAATATCATGTTTAATCCCTGCTGAACTAGAATTTCTCCCCTAAGGGTGACCTTGAGCAATTTGAGCTATGTATATGGCAGATAACCTTGACCCTATAATCACACCATGTTTAAGAGATTATAAGAAATAACTATAGAAATAGTGACAGAAGTTCAAAGAAGTCTATACCTACATACTCTTATCTTAGGTCAACCTATATTAATACAACTTTATTCATGTCAGCCTGCATTCTGATAAGTTCAGGGTTAGTTAGGCTATAATGTATAGTAGGGACAATTTTTTGAACTCACTCAGTTAGAAATCCCCTGGGAGAAAGGTGACACTGTATTATGTCAGATGTTGGCAGTGACGCTTGAACAATCATATGCTCAAATTTCCAGACTAGTGACTTAATATATGACTTAATTTAGGCTTCGGAGCCTTGGTGTCTCTGTCAGTAGGCTCACTACCTATATGGGTCCAGACATAACCTTTGGATTTTTCAACCTGGTTTCCATTACAGACAGGGGGACTGACAAGAGAAAAGCCTCTAGTCGTTCTGGGGCAACAGTAAACCAAAGCCTGGTGTGCTACAGTAAATGCATGTTAAAGATCCCTAGATAGTTGGCCAATGCGGTGGTCAAAAGATCCCTCATTGCACACCACATGGTGTTATCTGTCAACATTAGCTAAAGCAGGTACATGAAGGTAAGATGTGGTGAAGTAACTCACTGTAGGTGAATAAATGAAACATCTCAGTTGATCAAAAGTTTGCCGGTTGAGCAAGTATTTAAATTTTTAAATATCAATAACCTGCTAGATGGTTAATACATTTTCCAAAGTAAGCCTCTGTCAATTCTTACTAAATACAACACATGTAGAAAACTAAGTTACCTGATATAGATAAAAATATCAGACAAGCATGAAATCCCACCAATATATCATTTACAACTGGTTTGGCCTAATGTTAATAATAGCACATCATATGCTGACACCTCATAATTTCATGAATTCATACTCAATAATAATTGGGCAATATAGTTTCAATAACAGCTGTTTGATTGTTTCTCGACCTATTTCCTTTGTATTCTGTATGGCACAAGTTCAAATATCTCATCTATTCTAATGTAAGTAGGTTACTGACCGAATCAATCTTAAAGCTTTTTACCTATATCTTATATCACTTTCAATATAGTCAACCACTTGATCCAGATCTAATGAATATACACCTTTCAGTTCAATTATCCTGAAGCTTGCCAAACTATGGTACAAATGCACTGAACAATCCTATCTTTGTATGACAGCCAGAAATCTAAGAATAAAAGAAACTTGGGCAATAGTTTGTATTCTATTAAAGGTAAATGCATACTAGTCAATTAAGATATCAATTGAACAATTTCCATTGTTTAATTCAAATGAGAATGTAAGATTTGACTCTTTTTCCAAAAAATTATTATATTGCTCATATGTGGAAATTTGAAATCCATTCTCCAACCAGATGTCTTGATGCTTCTGCAGCATGTAATGAGTTTTTGTGGATTAAAGTTGAGTAAGAGCTTTGAAAACTTACTGGAGGAGATTATATCCACACAGACTTCCATATTTTGAGTTTCAACAACTTATTCATGTAATTCCAACAAATAGGCTAGAGAACCAGGAAGATTATAGAGAGGTCCAACAATACAGGTCTACAACACGCAACTGGAGAGATACTGAATGGAAACGTCATAGACTTAAGAAGAACTGTCAGCTGATTGCCAGATAAGAGCTTCAAATATAAAATGCTAATGTAATCTACATGCCTGTAATCTTCCTTCTGTGTTTTTTTTTATGACACAGTACAACTTAACCTAGAATATCTTGCCAATAGAGGTACAAACTTATAAGTCTTATCACAGATTTAAAACAGAATTCACCACTTATAAACTATGACGAACTCAAAAGTAAAAAAAGGGGGCAATAAGCCAAATCTACATGCTTCTCGGTAGTGTACAGCCTAATTTTTTAACACTTTTGTAACATCATAATTATTACTTACAGCTTTAGATGGCATCCAATTTCTAATGTTTAAAGAGATCATTTTATGCTGTTGGCCTGTTTGGGATATAAAATTCATCATCAGGCTTCAGTTCCACTAATCAAAAGTAGTTAAAAGGGTTAAACTTTTATTGCACTATGCCCAATGAACAGGTGGGTTAAATTGAATCTTGTAAAGGATAAATACTTCTAACTTCGAATTCTAAGCCTTACAAATAAAGGTGGAAGAAACATTATGCAAAATATCAAAAACATAGGTAAAATTTACCTTTTTAAGTCAATTCCAATGTTTTTTTTTAGAAAAACTCTAATTATCCACACAAACTGAGCAATCTGATTTTTCAACAAAACCAACACCTTATAAATATATGTCCAATAGTATGAACAGTAACAGTAACTGTCAGTAAGTCCAATTATTAGAACAGTAAGATAAATGTCAGTGAGTCTAATAATTAGAACAGTAAGATAACTGTCAGTGAGTCAGATTAAATATCTGCTATATCAAGAATCTGTGTCAGGTCTATTAATATCTTACTGTATAACAAAGAAATGGGAATACCAATGAACAATCATATTAGTCATATAACCTGTCATTGTCATTGTCTACAACTACTGTATCATTGGATCATCTACTCTTTTAATAAACCCGAATATCAGTTGAATATCTGGGAAAATGCATTAATCAACTCCATCAAATAGCCTACTCTGTCCAATCTGACAGTAATGCAATCAAAGTTTGGATTAAGAGATTGGAAAGGTACAATTACCCTTTAAAAAATAAAAAGTATCAAATTCTCTTTTGAATCCCCTGAAATAGCAAACATTTTAAGGATCGCAAAACTAAACAGAGTGTCAGTAACAGATTAAGGAATATACAATGAACCATTTTACTTCAATAGAAAATCTAGCCTAGGTCACAAACATATTATAATGGCTACCTTGAACTCTATTATTTGTTTTGAGAGTCTGGTTATACCATAATAATTAAGCTATGTTTACAAATAGGTATGTTTATATTTCACACCTGATATATTTCCAATAGGACTTTCTTGCACTCAACAAAAGAAAGAGATATCTGAAGTATTATATATTGCTCAACTACTTACTATCACAGAAAACAAATATGGTAAAGGAAAGTTAAAATGAAAACTGAACAATCTTATTAGACACTTTTCTATTTAATTGAATAATAACATTCTACTGTTCTTCTAATTCTGAAAGGGATACCCTATGAACTTATAAAGCTATCAAAACAGTAATGCAATAGAAACAGTATTACTTAGGCACAATGTCAGATCCTTAGGACATTTAATCCACCCAAATTCCCTTGAGTGTTAGTTTTATGATTTAGGCCTTAACTGTAACTAAACTATAAGCTTTAATGACTTATTTAAGCAGAGGTCACAGACTTTGTATTTAACACCTGACCTAAACAACATTTTCAGAAAATCCAACAGCCAAAGATATTACATTTGGTCACTTGATTGCTTTATAAGCTGAAAGGAGGTGAACAGAATGAAAGTCATGAAGTTCTGGGTTATTACGATTTACACAATACTATAAAAATAACAGATTTCTAGACCAATCTAGATCAAAAGGTCAACATGTGAACAGGAGTTATTCAA